GAAGAACTCATAGATCTGACATAGAGACAGATACATTGATAAATATCCTGGGTGCAGGTACTGGACTTTAGTACAAGCAGGGAGTAATGCAAAGCAAAAGTCATGGCCATGAAAGAGATTGAGTGTTTTGTTTTAACCCAGGGAGCTGTTACACCCAGTGGTATCCTAGAGGAAGTGACATTTTGAATAGAAATAAAAGTGTTAGTCCCCTATTGACTATAGGTAACAAAATTCAAACTTTTTAAAATAAAAACACAAAATGCTGCCTTCTGTAATTAGCCTGTCTTACTGTTTTAGGCAGGGCTAGATCTAGGAGCTAATATGATGACAGGCTTAGCTTCCCTCTCTGTTGACTTATCACAGCCAAACTCTCCCCACAGATGGGTGCTGAAAACAGAAACTCCTGTACTTAGAGCCTACAGCCTTCCAACAACCACTGATTAAAAATCAGTAAAGATTCTCATTGTCTGTGCTTGGGAACTGCCCATCCTGGGCCAGTCACGGTGGCCAGCTTGGTCAGTGCTGTCATTTGGGGGAGGGGTCAGAATGGGGCACCATAACTGACAGTTCCACCAGGTCTAGTAGAGCCAGAGCTGCTGTGCTATCCACAGCTACAGAAAGAGCAGAGAAATGGGCCAACTGCTGGACAGACCATATCATAACCACAATCCATTTCAAATGGGTTGAGTGTTGTAAAGGGATATGAAGGCAAAGCATTTGTGAGCTTGGACTAGCAGAAAAATGCACAAAAGCTTTGAAAACAGTAAATGTCAGGTGCTCCTGGGTACAAAGTAATTCTACACCAATGATTACAGTCTCTGAAGTCATATCATTCTATAGGTATGTTTTCCTTACACATTCATACCTGGGGACTTTTGCAGTATATGCAAATATAAATCCAGTAATGTTTCAAATGTTACAGGAACTTGCTATTTGGAATATATTCTATAGGGAATACATCTGTAATGCAAAGGATTAAATTGACAACAGAAACATCGGATTTTAAGTTTTCTGTTTTGTTCATTTGAATTATATATTCATTTTGCTTAGAATAATGCATACTTAGCCTAATTTTTTTAAAAAATGTATTTTTATCCATTTAAAATACAGGTCTACTTAAGATCATAGAACATTGCCTGTTTCTGGTAAATGATTAATAAATGTATATAAATGGTTCTTCGAATTTATATAAATAGCCATAAAATCATCTATATTTACTAGTTTTAAAAGCCTATTTGGACCAGACATTTGTTTGTTCCCTGCACAGCAGCAACTGAATGTGAATTCATTTTATAATTCATGGAATCCCCATGGGCTCATGGTGATACAGTGATTGAAACCAGGCCAATTGATGTCTTAATCCTTTCTGTCCTTCAGAAAGAAATGGAATTAAAACATGTATTTTTGTTATTTTGTATTTGTTGCATTGAATTAAAGTTATACATAGAATATAGAATTAATTCCTTGCTAAATGAATTTAAAATTTAAATTAAACAGATATGCAGGATTCTGACCTTGAGATGTAAATCATTGAAGTGAAAAACTCAGAAACCAACCAGGAATCCAAATGCGATGGCAGAGTATTCTAGTATTAGTATTTACCGTAATGGACTAAGGCCTAGAACTAAAAGATCAATTTCCAGTCCCTACTTTATCCTGAAGGTCATAATTTTTACTTTTTTCATTTTACATCAGTTTCCCTATCATAAGATGGGTTCCTATTATAAAGCTAAGATGGAATGATATGTGAAATAGTAAATATGAAGTACTTTCAGCTCCTCAGAATAAAGTTTCCACCACACACTGATATGACAGTGGGGTATACTCTGACTTAAAACTGATCTGTTATAAAGCAAGTAAATGAGGGATGAAATTTTATATCCTTTAGAAGACTTCGTTTCAAAATGTGAATTTTAAGAAGCATACAGCTAGCAGATTTAAAATAAATGAATCGGCAAAAATTTGAGTCATACACAACTTGAAAAGTTATTTTACACTATACAAAGTTAAATCTGTGATTTGATTAACACTCAGTGCCTACATAGAATATTAAAAATTCTTTAAATATGGAAATCAAAAGTCTTGGGCCTCCCTGGTGGCACAGGAGGTTGAGCACAGCGCTATGAAGCTGTCCGCAGCCTCTGCAGCGTGCTTTCGATCCCAGCCAATGAGATACCCACATGGTGCAGCAGACCTCTCCTGTCTGGCCCACTTCTCCCCTCAGCAGTGTATTTCAGCCAATCTGCTTGTTTTGTTCCCCGCTTTGTCTCTGTTGAATCCTCTCACCCTCCCACACATCTGGCCTGTACCCGGCTTTTGTATGCATGAATAAATAAATGTTAAAAAAAAAAAAAAAGGGCAACTCAAAAATCTTGAGCTGTAGACTTCAGGCAAAAAATAAAAAGTCACATGTGCCCCATCTAAGTTCAGTAAGTGCTAGTGAAGGGACATTTTGTGAGATACTGAATTAGCGACTCTAAAAGTTAATAAGGGGCCTCCCCGGTGGCGCAGCGGTTGAGCGCTGGGTTGCGAAGCTGCCCGCGGCCTCTGCGGCGCCAGTTCGATCCCCGGCTGCTCCCGGGCCACCAGAGGAGGGTCCCACATGGCGCACAGACCTCTCCTGCCGCCCGCTGCTCCCCTCAGCAGTGTACTTCGCTCCTTCTGCCTGCTCTGCTCCCCACTCTGGCTCTGGTGAATTCTCTCACCCTCCCGCGCTTCTGACTGTACCCAGTGCATGTAAAAACAAAACAAACAAACAAATAAAATAAATAAATAAAACATGCCTCTATTAAAAAAAAATAATAAAAAAAATAAAAGTTAATAAGGGGCCTCCCTGGTGGCGCAGCTGGTTGAGCACAGTGTTGGTGAGGCTGTCCACAGCCTCTGCAGCGTGGGTTCGATTCCCAGCCAGCTAGGGAGATACCCACATGGCACAGAGGACCTCTCCTGCCTCGCCCGCTGCTCCCCTCAGCAGTGTATTTCAGTCAGTCTGCCTGTTCTTCTCCCTCCTCTGTCTCTGGTGATTTCTCTCACCCTCCCACATCTCTGACCTGTACCACAGTTCTTGTATAAATAAATAAATCTTTAAAAAAAAGTTAACAAGGATTGCAATATCATAGTATATTAAAGAGATATCTGTCTTTCCAGTATATGTAAAACATATCTACCTTTCTAGAATATGTAAAACATAGAATATGTGAAAGAAGTCATATGCTCCTGTATTGGAGTAAACCCACTACATACCAGTACATTGACTTATGTCAGGAATGAGCCTGGGAGTTAGCTTCAGGATTATACTGGTGATCAAAAAAGATGAGGAATTTCCCAAGATGCTTGAACAAACTGTGTGCAGCAAGACCATATTTGAGAGCTGAAACATTGTCAGTCAGTGTTAAACAAAGTGCAACATCAATTAATGCTCCTGTGTTTAATGACAGGCTATCTTTATCAAAATAATAACCATGCCCAGGATGGAGAACAAAAGGTGAATCAGTGTTGCAAGGAGATGGGATACAAAGATGAGCCTCCTTCTTGCCACCTAAATAGACTTTGTCACCTAGAGGAATGGATACTGAGAGCTTGAGGAACAAGCTACCGTGTTTTCATCTCCAAATTCTTGCATATCTACTGCTTCTCCATTCTTTGTTCCTAATTTTCCTTAATTTCTCGGACCCGTTTTCTCTTTCTTAGCTGAACTCCTTGTGGGGTCCTTTAATTTGCTTTCCTGGCTTTAGACTAGCAATTTTGCTTTCTACCTATGATGTTCCCTCAAGACTTGATCATTAATGATGGCTACTCACCTATAATGCCACATACAGTAAGCTATAGATAAAGGTACCTACTCCTTGTACCCATGGCAGCCATTGGTGTGTATATTAATCTAATCACCCCCCAACTAGACACTAGTTATGAAAGACGATGTGACTTAAACTCCAAAGAAAGATTTTGAGTGAGACCCAGCAAAAGTGAGGACAGGAATCTCACTGCATTCTACTTAGATAACTCAGGGTAGCTGGCCATCCCTCTTAATCTCCCAGTCCCCGTGACAGTGTTTGGCTTAGTATAATTCTTGTTATATATAGAAGGTGCTCAGAAAATATTTAATGAAAGGGTGAATGAATGAATGAATTATTAGAAGCACCAGCTACAAGATCTAGGAATAATTGCACTGGTTTTTGAGGGTATGCATGAAGTTACAAAATATGATGAGTCTGTAATTAGCAGAACATGTTTGGTGAAGATTTTCATTCGTATTTCTTTTAAGAAATAAAGCAGGAAGCAACTCAGCACATCTACTTGTCATCGCTTTTAGAACATCTGTGGTTTTGGAAGAACTTTGAAAATAGGGCTTGCCTAGAGTAACTTCTGACTCATGCTATATAAGCAGGGAAGTGCCAGCACTGGTCCACACCATCTTAGAAGGCATCACAAGAGCGCCCACTTGGCTGCCCGCATCCTCCCACCTGGTCCTTACAGGACAGTATAGATGTGTACTCAACTCATTAAAACTTAGCCAAAACAAAGGACTAGAGGTAATAGATGTTCCATCCGATTTCTGCTGAGAAAAATTGCACATTTGAAAGGGTGCCTCCCTGGTGGCGCAGGGGTTAAGACTCAGCTCTATCAAGCTATCACCAGCCACTGCAGCACAAGTTTGATCCCAGGCCAGGGAGCTGACCCACCTCTCCTCTCTCCCCACTGCTCCCCTCACCAGTGTATTTCCGTAGATCTGCCTGCTCTGCTCCCCACTCCGTCTCTGGTGAATCCTCTCACCCCTCACACCTCTCGCCTATACCCCTGTTCTTGATGCAGGAATAAATAAAAAATAAATCAATAAAAAAATTTGCACATTTGGTCTAGAAATCCCAAAGAAGAATGTTTACAGGAAGACTGGATAGAGGCAGCCTGGGGTGGCCTATAAAATGCATGTTGTTGAGTGGCAGAAAGTGTCTGAAACAAGGCTTCTCTCCATTGCTGGCTCACTGTTTGTGTTTCTTCAGATCGATGGGCTGGACATGGATAGCTTGTTTAGCAACATTGAATCCGTGCATCAGATCTCAGCCAAGCTGCTGGCATCACTGGAAGAGGCTACCACAGATGTGGAACCAGCCCTGCAAGTCATTGGTATGTTTATTCTCTGCTCCAGTTCTATAGCACAACAGGAAATAATATTTCAATAACCTCCCTTTGCTTGGGTTTGATGTCTCTGACTCATCAAGCTTCCCAGGAGATGTATAAATGCTAAACCATCTTCCTTCAGGCTCATTGTAATTACACAAACTCTGTATTTATTTTCAAATGGGTTTCTATCCATTTTCTGAAATCCCACAGTAGCACTAAGTACACCATTTGCTTTTTAATTTTCAATCTTTTCAACCTCTCTGCCTTCCAGATGTTCTCTCATTTTGTTTTATGGCTACCACTTACTTGATCCTTAAAGAATTAAATATTTAAAGACTTTAATAGCTTTAGTGACTTGAGTCCAAATGGCTTGCAGATCTTATGTCTATGAATTGATTGATTTCTGAATTGTCCATTATTTTCAATGAAGAGTTTATATGATTTATAAAACACACAAGTTCTACTCTATCTGCCCTTTTTGTTTTCTCTACATCATTTGCTTTCTAAATAAGTTTTTCCTCTCAGACTGTATGGGTTATTTTCTTACACTGGTAAGATTTTTTTTTGGGGGGAAAAGTACAGTTGTGTTACTGAGCCAAATTTTTATTCTTTCCTTTCAAAGTTAGTGACATGTTGTGAATTCATGAAGGCAGTCACCACATCTAGGATATCATATACATAGTGCCACATAGGTTAAGAATTCTCAAAAAAAAGTTTCATCATTTTTTTTCTATTTACTCATAATATGGACTAAATGGTACTTACCAGACTATTAACACAGAATGACAGCAAGAGTCCTTTTCATGTTCCGTCCATGACAAAATAACCCACAAAATAACCACCATTACCCATTTGATGGGGATCCTGTCTTGGGGACACACAATTAGACACAAACACACACCACCTTCTGTCTTAATTCATTGTCCCTATTTGCTAATGAAAACCAGAGTTGTACAAATGGCATGAACTGACCTTCTTAAGCATTTATGGGCCATCTAATGTTTAGTAAGCAAGACCAGTGTTGTCCAAAGGTTAAAGAAACCACCTGGCTGTTTGTGGTGTTTCACAGACCTCAAGGCCAGCAGGCTCAAAGAGATTTCTCTTTCAGACAAGTTTAAATCCAATCAATCACTGCTGTGATTAAAAGTTCCTCTTGTGAGTGGAGTGTTTGTGCCTCTCCCCGAACTCAAAGGTTGAGGCTCTCTCAATATGATGATGGAAGTAAGCCCTTTGGAAGGTAATTTAGCTTTAGATGATCACCTCTGGGCAAGAGCAACTAGCAACACTGACTACTTCCTGCTCTGGTGGCTGGGGCATATTTGAGACTCAAACCCTGCTGTCCCCTGGGTAGACTGCGAGCTGTGTCCTGGCTCACGCTGAGGGCTCACATCATAACCTGGGAGCCATGAAACTACCAGGAGATTAAAGATTAATGGGGAGATTAAAGATCAAATGTCAGTGAACTGTGCACAGGAAGCAAAGGCTCGCAGTCCTGCTAGAGTATGTGGACACTGTTGCTATAGCAGCTGGGTTGTTTATAGTCTGATATAAATCTATCTATAACTTTTCCATTATTTGGTTATGCTTATTTTATTTTGCAATAAACCCTTTCAGAAGCAAGGGGTTAGTGTAAGCACGTTTAATAAAAATTGAATATTGATTTTCTGTTTCTCAAGAAAGTTGATGATGAATATATGGCAGAAAATAACCACCACTCACCGCAGTGCTGTCATTGGCATAAGGCAGTGGAAAGCAGAAATCTGCTGAAGGAGCAGCTAATTTTTTAAAAGACTGTCTTCGACGTATGTGATTTAACTCATGCAGCTGTGGGAAGTGTGTTTACATATCACTTCAGGCAGCAGGACTTCATTTAGGTCCAGTGGCAGTTATCCTAAATTAATTTCACTACTTTTAAATTCTGAGCTTCCCTCGGCTGATGAGAAATGTAAAGCAGTGGCTGGTGGTGAGGTGACAGCATTAGCAGAGGGCTTTACTGACAGATACACTCTGACAATTTTATGTCAGTGTGAGCAGATGAGTCTAACAGAGAGTCAATTAATTTCAATAACGATTCAAAAAATGTTAATCCAATTCATGAATCAAAGAAAACTTTTTGGAAGTTTATTTTGTCCAAAGTAGATTTTTCTGACTTCTTTGTAAATAAGACTGCAATTTAAAAATTATACTATTACATATTTTGGTAGAACATAGCATTATGTTAAGTAATGCTTTTACTGAAAAGTGAGATATCTGTAACGCAGAAGTGCCCTTAGAATTGATTTAGTGCCTGTGTAATAATGGCGTTTTACTAATTGAAATGGTGAATGTAGTAAAAGTTCACACATGGCTATATATATACATAAAGTTAGAGTCAGCTATATATAGAATTTGGAGAATAAAGTTGATGCTAATTGAAAAAATAATCATGAAAGTATGTACTTGCCTTGCTTCTGATCGCTAACCAGCTTTTAAAAATGGCATTTTATTCCTAGTCAGTTGGACATCTTCAATTAAAGTCTTCAGCAGAGGGAAAAACTATCTTCAACTTTTTAATCTGCAATTTCAGTTATTGAGGATAAAGCCTGCAAGTGGGGGGGGGGTGACACTGAAATTCATCCCTACCAAAACAAAGATTTAGGTAAAAATTGTAAACAATGAGAGTTTATGCAGTAGAAAATACTTCATTTTAAAATTCTGTAATTATACTTTGGAAAATTTATGGACAGAAGTTTTTGATGGAGCTCCTATTTAATAAGACAAATAATTGTGTTCTGTAATCAGATTTTCCAATGTTCATTTGGAAAAATATTTGAAAATCATAAGTAGAAGCAATTTGGCGAGTTTTCTTTTGTTTAAAATAAAAAATGGAATGTGAAGATGGCAAAACAGTATTGAGCTGAAAATACTTCAGCTCAAATATTTATACATATCTCTGTATATATAATCAGAATTTTAGTATCTTCCATTAAGCAGAATTTTTTGAATATATTAGATGACTCTGTGCTTATATTTTCCCAGTAAAAATATTATAGTTTACATCTTCAAGGCAAAATAATGTTAGTATTGGACTATAACCCATAGAATAAAATAAATTATCAAGTCCATAGTGAGATGAATAAATGAGATAAGGCAAAGTTCTTCCTTTCAGCAGATGTCAGTGAATAAATATAAAAGGAAAGAGGAAAATAGAAAATTGCCATTCAGAAGCACTGCAGTTGTAATGACTGCAGGAAAAACCCCACTTGTGGGAGGGGGAGTTGGTGGGTGCAACTACCTTTGGTAGTTCCCAAGTGTCTCCTGAATCACTGATAACCACAAAGGAAGACATCACCCTTAAGTGAGAAACCAGGCAGTGGTCAAGTGATCCAATAATAGTAAGAAATGATGCCCATTCACACCTTGAACCTTGTGATGCAGCAATCTGCGGGGATAGGACACATGTCTGTCCAAAATATGTGTAATTTGGGGCTCCCCTGGTGGCGCAGCGGTTGAGCGCTGGGCTGCGAGGCTGCCCGCAGCCTCTGCAGTGCCGGTTCGTTCCCCGGCCGTCGGCGAGGGTCCCACCAAAAAAAAAAACAAAAAAAAACAAAATATGTGTAATTATATCCAAACCTGAGAAAACATTAGACATTGGTGGACAGACTCAAATGAGGAACACTCAACAAAATGACTGGCCAATGCTCTTCTTAAATGTTGAGGTCATGAAAAATAAGGCAACACTTATAAGGAACTTTTAAAGACCACAGAGGACTAAGGAGGATCCACCTACAATTGCAAGTGGGAGCCTAGATAGACTTCTAGAACAGTAAGAGAACTTTTGTGTTCAGACACCAGTAAGGTGTGTAGTTTAGGTGACACTACTGCACTGACTTCATTTCCCCTGGCTATCCCATGCTTCTGTAAGATGTATACCTTGGGCAAGCTGGGTGAGGGATAATTGGAAACTGCAGGTATATTTTCAACTTTTGTAAGTATGAAATTAGTTCATGATTTGAAAATTTAAAAATATTATAATTTACAGAGAAGCTTCAATAGATGATGTTCCCAATGTCAAATTTACTAATTGTATATTTCAATTTTGAGGAAAAATTTATGAAAAAGACTAAAACAGTAAGGCTGTATTTGAAGAAGGAGTTGGGAGTCATATTTAAGTTTCCTGACTTCTATACCTCGTCTAGTTTTGTGACTTATTCTGACCAATAGAATGTGGCACAGTGATCCACTGTGACCTCCACTCTCTGCTCAGGGAAAGGGAAGACTCAAAATACCAGGTCATTCCAGTCCACGGTCCAGGCCTTGGGTGGGAGAGTAGGGCTCTCCATGGCTCGCTGGCCTCTGCCCACTGACGGCAAACCATGACAAGCCCATCAACATGCATGGAGACAAACCTCCCCGCTGAGCCCTGCTCATGCTGACGTAACCTGGTCTTAAGCCCTGAAGTTTGGGAGTGTTTTTTTTTTGTTGTTATTTTTTCTCTGCAGCAACAGCTGATGAATACGGGTTTGCAGAGAAGCGATTAATCAATTCAATCCAGATGATGAGGGAAAACTTGATTTGGAAGGTGGCTTTTGAGCGTGCCCTTGAAGGATTTAGAAAGGTGTAGCTTGGAGCAAAAGCCTTTCTAAATGACAGATGGCATGGTGCCTCAAGGCTGGAGAGTGTGGGAAGTTCTTCCTAAGGACAACAATTTTACATGGCTAGAGAATCGTAGGACCATGCACAGTAGCATCGGTAGACTTGACTGGCAATTTCCATCACTAAATCTTCCACCAAAGTGGAGTTTACCTTTCATAAGATAAACTCACCTGAGGTTACAATTCCAAAGTGATATTAGCAGAGAATGAAAAGCACAGGTGTCCCATTTCTCTGTCTTTATGTGACACGAATAAGAAGTCATGATTCACAGTGCTAATGCCAAAGGGGAAGTGTTCCTGATACTTAAATAAAGCAGGAGAGGAATTTTGCTCAATAATAACAGTGTGGTTTGGGGGAGGTTCAAGTTTAAGCACAGAGGTTTACATTTGTAGGTCTGAGTGCTCTGGGGAACGATCTGGACTATCTTGACTTAAGTAGGCTGTCTAGATAGGAAGTGGGTTCTGAATCTTTAGAAATTTAGCTCTTGTTTTCACTTAAATGGAGGCTTATTCTATAATGAGACATTAGTGAGTAAGGGTGAAACAAATAAGATGAGAGTGCAGAGTTTAAATATCAGGTTGGCTCATCTGATTCTAGATGCGTGATCTTGGCCAAGTTACAAAATCTTATTGAAACCTAGCAATCCAAATCTAGGGCTCTCCCTCTTAACTGCTGTTACTTCCTGGTTTTGTAATTTAGGTAGTTCTTGGGTTATTATGGAAGTCTTTCCATTTTTTTCCCTTTTTTTTTTTTTAAATTTTTACAAGTGCTGGGGTATAGGCTAGATGCACTGGAGGGTGAGAGGATTCACCAGAGACAGAGTGGGGAACAGAACAGGCAGACTGGCTGAAATACACTGCTGAGGGGAGCAGCAGGCTAGACTGGAGAGGTCTGCTGTGCTATGTGGGACTCTCGCCTGCCAGCCGGGATCAAACCAGCACTGCAAACGCTGCAGAGCTTCACAGTGTGGTGCTCAACCGCCTGCACCACCAGGGAGGCCCTGTTTTCCCTTTTCTAGTCTCACTAATTCCTTCTCCAATTGCCATCTTTAATATGACTAATCTTTCTGAATCACACTGCTGAGGTGACTGGGTCTTCTCTGAGAAGACTTCTCTGTCTGTTCCGACTTCTTGGTGATATATCCAGGTCCTTCAAAATCTGGCCCCTGCTGCCAGTACCATCTCTTGTGGGTCTTCCCTGCAGCTCTGGACCCACCATATTCCCTGGGTGTGTCTGTGCACCCTCTTAGCTCTTTCCAGGGCAGGCCATTGTGCGAGTAGCTTCTAGGCCCTTAAGAACACCTCAGTTTCGCCTCTGCACTTCATAGCTCTGTCGTCCTACTATTCACAGAGTGTAGTACCTTGGAGCTTGCCCTTCTCACTCCCTTAGCAACATATGGAAGATTCTAGAAGGAAGTGTTCTTTCTATCTACAATACCTGCCAAAATGCTAGATGAAAACTGGTCACTCATTAAGCAGAATTCCTAAATGTCATTACATTATTGCCAAAATAGGAGGAAGAGTAGAATATAGCTACTTCATTTCTTTTCATGTCATTTTCCTAAACAAGGGCTCAGACAAGAAGATCTCTTAAATAGAGTTGGTTTTACCTGATTTAAGTACCCACAGGGGAAAAAAAACTTCTTGGAGCAGGGTCAGAATTACACAGAGGCCACACATGTTGTTTGGTATGGCCCAGCCTGGGGTTTGGGAGTACCGAAGAGGAGCATTTGCAATAATGAATGCAGCAGTTTTCAAATTAGGAGTACTGATAGCTAGACATAAAACAGGTTCGATGTTTTTGGAAGCTGTTTGTAGAGGAGATCACTGAGGGAAAACGAGGATGCCTTTTTCCTCCTCCTCTGCGTGGCGATTGCTTTTGGTGAAGCCAGTGCAGAAATTCTTGGATGGTAGAAATTTTAAAAAGAAGCACACAAAAGTTATGTTTATTTTATAGGATTCTAGCACCTTTGTGACAGGCAGCCGGAGGTAAAATTACCTCCACTGGTCTGGGCTCAGTCCCTCCTGCACTGCTCATCATCCCTTCAAATCCACATGCATTAGATAGAACAGCTGTCCTTCATCACCCAAGAAATGCAGCCCAGAGTTATGTTACCGTGGAAACAGAATCACTTTCTCCTGCAAGACACATGGCTTCATCTGCGCTATTATGAAGCAGAATACATTGGTGGGGCTGGGAGGGAGCTGGAACATTCTCCCATCCCTGTTGTGCTTGGTCTTTGGGTGCATAAATGACTTCAATTGGAGTGCTTAAGTAGCTTTTGACTTTAATAATTATCATTAGCACCCTACAGAATTTTACTTGGAAAAGAGTAAAAATCATTTGATTCTGCAGTTAAAGGGAGAGCGATAAATTCTTTCCAACAAGACCATTTCTATTCAAGAAAATAAATATAAGGGAATTTATAATTAATAGTTTGTGGTAAAATAAATGCCTTTGTCATTTGTGTTTGGCATTTCTGTTTGATCCTACTGTGAATTCATGAGACTGTGCTTACCTCTGCCTCATGACAGCCCAGAGCTGTCTCTCCCTTTAGCTACTTTCTGGTGAACACACTTGTTTACACTTCCGTCTTGTCTTGGACCCTGTGTGTCCACAGAGCCAGGCGCTCTCTCCCATGAGGACCTTCCTTCCCTCACTGGCCAGAGCCCTTGCTCCCGCTGGCTGCCTGGCACTGTGACTGGGAGGCTGCCTCATCTTATGCTCATGTCTTAGTCACTGTCCTGTTTTATTCTCTTCTGGCGACCCCTCTATCCCTTACTGTTTGTGTGGCCAGATTCACACTGGTAGAAGTCACCAGCTCAGGGAAATCCCAGAACCAAAACAAGATTTCTTCCTCCTTTCAGTTCCAAGGATGCTGGCAGTCATGGCTTTCCTTAAAGATCGAAAATAAAGAAAATACAATTAAAAAACAAACCACACACAGTATAAATACAATCACAGGGAAACCCCATGCAATGAAAAGGCAAGGAGAAAGTCATGTATTGCTGGATGTAAATTAGAAAAGAATGTGATCATGTAAAAGTACTGGTGGTCTCATTCTGAAGAGAGTAGTCTCCATAAGAGACGGTGACATTTTACTGAGCAGCTAGTGCCAGACATTTTTAACATCCATTTAATTCTCAGTCATCTTGAGATGTACTGTTATTTCCACTTCACAAATTATTTTAAAAAGGTGATTCCCAAAGTCACCATGCTAATCCTCAAGGACAGTGATTTCTGATTCTGGGTGTGGAGTTCTTCCAGTTGTATCTTCTTGCACCGTGTTCAGCAAAGCTAAGGGGAGAATGAGGCCTCTCCCTGTCGCCGGTTGTGGGCCCACTGTCAAACCACATCACCAGCTCTAAAGAAAAGAATCTATTTAATGCGAGGTCACCTGACTGGCGGCCAGGCTCAGTAGGTCTCCCGAGGATGGAACCGTGGGCAGTGCTGATGAGGTCGAGGAGCAAATATGGGAAATGCAGGTGGGTGGAGTCTAGAGTCTGATGGGTGACTTTCTACTGAATCTTGGTGTCACTGGAGTTTGGGTCCAGAACTGCCACAGACTAAATACCCTCTGAAAGTGGTACTTGGGCATCTTAGGTTGTCTACCATGGCATTTTGGGTCCAAGCATTGAAAGGTCACCTCAAGGACAGTGGATACTCTTCTGGGCCTACACTCTGAAATACAACTTGTCAGCTTATGTAAACTGGGTTTTTGTTCTCATTTAAAATAGGTAGGTCCTCCCCTGGTGGTTGAGCACTGGGCTGCGAAGCTTCCCACAGCCTCTGCAGCTCCAGTTCGATCCCTGGCCACTGGTGAGGGTCCCACATAGAGCACAGACCTCTCCTGCTGCACCCGCTGCTCCCCTCAGCTGTGTTTTTCATCACTCTGCCTGTTCTGTTCCCCACTCTAGCTCTGGTAAATTCTCTCACCCTCCTGCACTTCGGTCTGTACCCAGTGCTTGTATAAATAAATAAATAAATCTTTAAAAATAAATAAATAAATAAATAAATAAATAAATAAAATAGGTAGAGGCAGTTTTGTCCTGTTTTTTTTCTTCTTGCAAGCCCACTGGCTATTGTTATGATAGAACAAGCAGAAAACTGACCACCACCATTCCACCACCTCCTGACAGGAGCTTGGGAAAACCACTTATTTGTTTAAACTTATTTACTCATCCTTAACTTAATATCAATAAAAAACCTCTTAACTCTGCATATAGAAGGAGTTAAGTAGTCGTTTGCAAGACCTGTTGAAGATACAAAGGTGCCTCTGTTTCTGTAGAAGGAGGGGCTGCCATGGGTCCACATCAGCAGGTCCATGTCACTCCTAATCAGCTCAGCCCCAGATCATTAGCGATACCAAACTTGCAGTGTTTTGGAGAGCAGACATCATATCTCTCCTGTGTCTCCCCAGTCACCTAAACGCAGTGCTGGGTTGGGTAGTGGACGCTTAAAGCATGTCATAAAGTGATGGAGTGAGTGATTACATCAAACCTTCATCCAGGGCCCTCAGTTATAGACCCAATTTTATCATAATAGTGTAATGCTTTTACAATTAGCCCACATTACTTTTTGAAGCGACAGTCATAACCCTGATTAATGATGCCATCCAATTGATATTTTAACAGGAATGCTAGCCGATTCTTTATATTATCACATGTGAAAAGCATGTTATTTCTCTAATTCTGTTGCTTTCCTTTCAGAGAACCTCTAGAAATGGGAGTGGAATAAAAACCAGTAAAACAATTTACCTTGTCCCGTCCATACCTTTAAGAAATTATCAGCTGCTATGGTTTCAAGTATTTGATGTGTATGTCCTGTTCATAAAACTTTATGCACATTACCTCTTTTCATTTTACAATGATCCTGTGGAACTGGATCTTTCCCCCATGTTCCTAGTTGAGGAAACAGGTTCAGGGACTTGTCCAAGTTATGGCATGTCCAGGTTGGTAGCATAGCCGGGTCCAAGCCCCCATAGGCTGACTGTAGCCAGGGCCTGCCGCCAGCCGAGGAGACAGTCACCTCTGAGAAAGCCAGCTTTCCTGTGCTGCTCTCTGTTAATCTCTTCATCCTTTGGGCTATCAAAGAAAGGGAGGAGCAAGGAAAAAAGATGGAGATGGGATGGAAAAGAAAAGGGGGAGAAGTCATTTGGTCTCTGCCCTCTCTACAATAACCTTGGGTAAGGGGCCAACCCCACTTTTTCTCCCTCTAACTTTTAGGAGGTCCTCTGGGATTCAAACCCCCATCCAATTTTTAATGCTAGTCACACTGTCAGATTACAAGCTTGTGAAATACCAGCAGGGTCTCACCTGATGTCATTTTCCTTTTGTTTTGCATTTATCAGGGGAAGTCTTCTTGAAGATGAAAGGGCCACTGGAAGACATTTATAAAATCTACTGCTATCACCACGATGAAGCCCATGGTGTGCTGGAGTCCTATGAAAAGGAAGAAGAACTGAAGCAGCATTTGAGCCACTGTATCCAGTCCTTAAAGTAAGGCCTTTTCAAATGACGGTTGAGCACACTCCCAGCTGCCTGGCAGGGAACATTTTAACTGGGGGCAGATGAAAGGCCTCACATAAATCCTGTGTTTGATGAGGCTTGCTGGGAGCTCCACTTTGCGTTCTCTTTATGAAAAGCTGACATGCCAGAAACCCTGATTGACTTTTTTTTCCTTTACCTGCGAGGAGGACTAAAAATAACACGGGAGAAAATTCAGGGCTCTGCAGAGCTAGAATAGTGCAATATCAAAAAATGAAATGGGGAAGAAAAGCCCCTCCTTAAGGTGATTGTGCTTGCTGCTCCCACAAAGCTCAAGCAATCTGTGAGGCCGCATAGGGCCCCTGACCCGCATAGGGCTGCAGTGGAACGTCTCAGAGTCGGGAAGCCCTCTGCTCCTCTACTCACTGTGGGTAGAGGGGGTGCTGGTGAAGACAAGGCAGACCTGGGGAAGTTGGTCTCAGGGGCAGTATGCCTACCTTCTTGGCTGGGAAGGGCTGTGCTACATAATAGACTTTTTTTTAATCTAGAAGAAATGTCTATTCACTATAAAAGTCCAAATCCAGAAGAAAGCAGGCATAAAATCAAAACCCTTTCTGTTCCACCATGTAGTCATAACTGCAGTTTACATTTTCATCTGATCTTATATATGTGCATAAATATGAGTGTGTGGTGGGATGATTCTCTATTTTATTGAGGTAACCTTGGTTTACGTTGGTGTTTGTATTTTCTAAGAATAGAATTGACCCCTTCCAGGGCTGTTACCCCAGTGTTCCCCGCCAAAGCACCCATAGTCTACCATTAAAGTCCACTGTGCTCCCTCCCCATTGTGTGCTCGCCCCACTTTTCCCCTCCCCCTATGAATATCTCAGTTTTAGAATCTGCTTTCAAGGGTTAATCTTTGAATTTGGCTTTATCCGAGACTTTGGTTTCTCTGTATTTCATATACAATCAACACCATCTGGTAGTTGTCTTTCTCCTTCTCACTTATTTAGCTTAGTGTTATCTCCTCCAGCTCCATCCTTTTGCTGCAAATGACATGAGTTTATCTTTTTTGATTGCTGGGTAGTAGTCCGTTGTGTATATACCATTATATGGACTACTACTCAGCAATCAAAAGAGATTGCTACAGTGCTACAGTGAACATGGGAGTGCAAGCTTCCCTCTGAAAGTGTATTTGTGTTGGGATGATTCTTTTACATGGAACTGGTATCTTACTGTGATACTGTTTTCTACCACAGGAACTTACAACCAGAATCACTGCCCACATGCTACCCAGGGGTTCTATTGTAGTCTTTGATTTCTAAGAGTTCTCTTGTATCCGGTGATCTCTCGTAGGCCAGGAACTAGCCCAATAGCAAGTGCTGAGGTGTGTGAATCAAGGCACACCGGCCAGGCACATCCTCAAGTTTACCCCCTTCTCGTCTCTACTATGGGGGGAGGGGGGGCAGAAATCGAACCCTATTGTGTACATGAGTCTAGAAGCTGAATTCAAGTAGAATCAGAGACTGAAGGGTAGTACTGAGGAAATAGCCTTCCAGGCCAGGGCTGAGTCTGAGAGTGCATCTAAACTGAGTATTTTTAAATTAACTTTATTGCCCTCTACTGGTCACCAAGTGACTGTTGTTCTTAAGCCATTTTTCATACCATGGAAAGAATACATTCATATAAACTGCAAGCATTTATTTAGAGCTTGTGCACCCCAGGCATCTTTCTGGGTACTGAGAAAACAAAAAGAAATAAGACTGAGACCCTTGCCCACAGGGCCCATAACAGGACCAGATGGGTCTCCAGTGTCATGTGATGAGATCCAGCTCACTCTGTGCCACTGTTTTCAGTTTGGTTCACTGTTAGCAAATCAACTTAGAGTAGCCCTAAAGCTGGAAGTTGTTTCCATCTTAATAAATTTGTGTTTTAGGAGCACAGGCGTCTAAATACACAGATTCCCTCTCCTCCCCCCAGGGAGAAATCACGCTGCTGTCCTGGGGTGAAGAAGCACCTTTCCCACCTTATGTCAATGGCAAGGCTTGACTAAGAAGTGTCACTCGTGAGACCTTTTCCTTCTTCAGTTTCCAGAAGAAAAGAGGGCAGTCTCGTAGCGAAGTGACTGTAGCTAGCCCCTTGGAAGTCCCTCTAAACCCAGCACAGGGGACCATACCCCCCAGTGGTTGTGCTTAACACCCCTAACAGCTGGCCAGATGTGGTGCTGCCTGTTCAGAGTGGGAGGAAGAATAATGTATTATTCATTAAGCTTTTGGCTCCTCAGAGAAAGAAAAGGACCCTACCAGAATATTCCAGTGGGCAGTTCAGCTCCGTCTCATGCCCCCTGAGCAGCGGCTAACGGCAGAAGTGATTTGGACACATCCTCAAGTCCCAATTATTGAAAATTACTTCCAGCCCCGGTGGCTTATTTGATTTTTTTTCTGGAAGCCTGGTGATGGCCCAAATCTTGCCTTGTCAGCACCATTCTGATTGGGAGAATCAGTTCAGGTACTGGAGGGTGCTAAAGCTTAGAAAGCGCAAAATCCTAAGGAAATGATATTGGCAGAACTATTTCTTAAGGGAAAGAAAATCACAATAAAACAGCTTAAGTTAGAGCTGTTTCCCCCCAAAGTTGCCTTTCCATGAAAATAAAGTTAATGATGAATTGTACTGCCCTGCCTGGAAGCTGAGAATTATTGACATTACTATAATGCTGACCTCAATTGAGCTAAAGCTTTAATAAATTCTGAGAAACAGGTTTTTCAAACAGGTTTATAGGCCAAAGAGAGGCCGTAACACCCCAGGGCTTGATTTCCCTGGCCAAGTAATCTGTCAAAGCTATTACCTGGTGTCTGCCTTTCCTCATGGCGGCCTCATGGAGCCTCAGCGGCAGCTGCCGGTTCCTCATGAATGTTAGGTGTGACGTCCCCTCCTCCCCTGCAAGCAGACGCTGTCCCCACCAGGGAGGTGTCGTCATGCCTCAGCAGCTAAAGCAAATTTTAGAGGAACCAAGGTGCGTTTCATCCAAAATTAAAATGTGTTGATTGAGGGCATAATACATATTTATTAAGAGAACTAGATAATGTTGAAAATATTTAAAAATGGCTATCTCGGCCCAAGTGCTTGCCTCCCAGGATCACACCTTCTGGTTAAGTAGATAAACAAAACCAACTGGAAAGTTTAATGACAGTGTGCGCTGATTTCAGTTACACACCAGATTCAAGAGGAATTTCCAGAAGGATGATAGAGGGATTTTTTGGTTCTGTAACCAACTTGGGCTCCTCACCTTAGGCTCTTACTTGAAGCCCATTATCTTTCAAAACAGAAAATAATATTTATATCCAGAAAATAATTTTGCATCTCTTACAAATTCTGCCAGTAGTTGCTTGGTGTGTGAGTGGCCTGCGCCAGATCCATCAGGGATGTGGATGACAAGTGCAGGTTCCTGTGCTTTGTCCTAGACTCCCCTCCCGACCCCCACAAAAAGGCTCAGGTGCAGGGATGGGGATTTTGGCCCAGGAGTCTGCACTTCAGCCAGTACCCTCAGGTCATGGACATGGAGTCAGCTAAGCCCTACCTTAGAAATCACAGTCCAGTCTCTCCCTGAAGCATGTGGCTTCCTTCTGACTATGTGCAACCTAAGCAGTAATTTCAGGGTTTGGAGACTTTAAGAAAGAAAAGAGAGAACTGTACCAAAGCACAATGCCAGGTCTACATCTCCAGCCTGCAGATTGGAATCTGTGCGTCTTTATTTATCCGACCTGGATATTGTTGGCAGAGTTGTATTAGTGCCTCCCAAGATTGTGGGAATACTACGTCCATACAGTCATTCTGCGAATGGTGGCTATTTGCTAAATAAAGGGCTGATGATTTGGCCTCTTTAGGCTTATTCGAAGTTTCTGATCTGCATGTTGAGGAGCAAGAAACACAGAAGAGCTGTAAATGCAGGTGTAGCTATCCAGATCTTTCATTCTGTAGTAGGAGAAGAACAAAAGGGCTTTTCCAAGTTTTCAGTAGCTAGCTTCGTGCCTACTGTTGTGAGTCTGCCTACACAAGACCCACCATCCCAAGGAGAAATATGTGTGACTTCTCGGCTTCTGGCTCAGGAGGCTCATATTTCTGCTCTGGCTCCTCCAAGTTCATGCAGCCTGGAAGGGAAGGAACAGACTTCAGTTTGTTCACTGTATTTCATGCGCTGGTATTCTAATATCACCCCCACTGGTAACTCGGTTTCCGCAGTTCAGTTTGCTGTTACATGCCATTGTGGTTTTTTTTTTTTTTTTTTAAGATTTATTTGTGCATACAAGAGCTGGGGTACAGGCCAGAGGTGGGGGGGGTGAGAGGATTTACCAGAGACAGAGTGGGGAGCAGAACAGGCAGATCTACTGAAATATACTGCTGAGGGGAGCAGCGGGCAAGCAGGAGAGGTCTGCTGCACCATGTGGGTAGCTCCCTGGCCAGGGATGGAACTCGTGCTGCAGTGGCTACGGATAGCTTCATAGGATAGCTTCATAGGTTGCATCTTAACCCCTTATGCCACCAGGGAGACCCCACCATTGTGTTTAAGCAAAAACTATATAGAATCTTGAAGGAAAAGCTACACTGTGTCAAATTATAATGAGCCCCTGAGAGTAGCTGGAGTGGTGCTGGATACTTTGTTAGTTTATCCCACAAAAATGGTAAATGCATTCTATTCAACTTCTTCCTTCCTGAATTGTCATAGGCTGGGATTCCCTAGAAAGCTTTAGGCTAAAGGGAGAATTTTTTTTAACTGTGTGTGTGTGTGTATGTATATATTTTATATATATATATATATATATATATATTATATATAATCACACAGGAGATCTGAGGTGGAGGCCAGAGATGTGGGGAATGAGAGGATTCATCAGAGATAGAATAGGGAGCAGAACTACTGAAATCCACTGCTGAGGGAAGCAGCAGGTGAGACAAGAGAGGTCTGCTGCACCATATGTGGGTCAGCTCCCTGGCTAGGGATCGAACTCAGGCTATAGCAGTGATAGTGCTGAGATTTAACCCTAGGCCACCAGGGAAACCCTAAAGGGAGATTTTTTTTTTTAAATAGTGAGTGAATAAAAGGTTGAGGTTACAGGTAGTGTCATCCTTCTGGAACTCCCAACAGTCTCTAGGTTCCTCTCTATATGATGTTATACTTACATTTAAAATGGTGTCTCATTTATGTTAAAAGATTTGGGTTTTATTTGTTGAAAAAGAAGAAATAAAAAGGAAAAACTTCAGGGCCTCCCTTGGTGGCGCAGGTGGTTGAGTGCAGCGCTGTGAAGCTGTCCACAGCCTCTGCAGCACCGGTTCGATCCTGGCTGATTGGCGAGGGTCCCACATGGCGCGGCAGACCTCTCCTGTCTGGCCCACTGCTCCCCTTAGCAGTGTATTTCAGTCAGTCTGCCTGTTCTGTTCCCCACTCTGTCTCTGGTGAATCCTCTCACCCTCCCGTGCATCTGGCCTATATCCCAGTTCCTGTATAAATAAATAAATCTTAAAAAAAAAAGAAAAAAGGAAAAACTTCATTGTCTACTTGGGGGTGAAAAAAGCAGTCTTTTCTTTTGACTTCAAAGCATATGCTTTGATTCCCAAATGACGACATTGTTTACTTGTTTGTTTCCAGAGAAAATTTCATTTTTATTCATCTTCTCCCCCAGAATTTTCTGATCTATGGTCTGTGGGAGTATAAGAAATCCCTCAGTAGAAGAGAGCAGAAATGAGGGCAAGAACATGAGCTTTCAGTAAATGAGTGGGAGGAACTGTTGGGCAGAGGGATAGTTGTTTGTAGCTTATTTTATTGTTGGAGAGTTCTTCAAACAGCTGGTAATAATTGCCTGAAATTTTGGCAGCTGCTGATTTTTTTACAAATTATAATTCTGTGCTTGATTCCTGAGTACAAGGTCTTAGACTCAGCATTTCCTAGGTTCTCCAGGAAGGTTGGGACCCCATCCAGATAACAGGCCTGACGATCGCAGGAACAAGTACTTCACACACTTATGCAATCCATTTCTGTATATGCCGGGGTTCATTTTTAAAACATAGTTCATTGAAATTTATGAGATTCGGGATAGGTATTTCTCATTAAATTTATTCTCAATCATTGAATGGCAATATACTATCTATTATGGGAAGGAGGGGTCACAAAAATTTTTATATTGAAAGCATTTTTTCCAAAAAGATTGGAAACCAGAGATAAGGTGGCAGGCTATTAACACAGGTTATTCCTTTATCTCTCCATAGCCACGTGAGGCTTTTGGAGAAAAACTGCCATGTTCTTTTTTTTTGTTTTAAAGATTTATTTATTTATTTATACAAGCACTGGGTACAGTCAGATGCGCGGGAGGGTGAGAGAATTCACCAGAACCAGAGTGGGGAGCAGAGCAGGCAGACTGATGAAGTACACTGCTGAGGGGAGCAGCGGGCAGCAGGAGAGGTCTGCACGCCATGTGGGACCCTCGCATGGCAGCCAGGGATCGAACCGGCGCTGTAGAGGCAGCGGGCAGCTTCGCAACCCAGCGCTCAACCGCTGCGCCACCGGGGAGGCCCCTGCCATGTTCTTTAAACTATAAATTGAGCCTGAATAATTTCCATGCTTTTTGGTTAGTTAACAGTTTTGCATTCCTACTGTGTGCCAGTCACTTCTTTGGTAAAGGGCCCCAGTGGAGAACAAAGCAAGTATACAGCCTCACCCTGCTGGGGATGGGGAGAGAGACAATAACTAAACACGGAAGTTATCTTGTATATTAGAAAGTGACAGGCGCTGGGGAGAGAAAGAAAGCAGGGGATGAGGATCAAGAGTAGAGAGGGCAGCAGGTACAATTTGCAAAAGTGGATCAGGAGAGGCTTCCCTGGGAAGGGACATTTGAGCAAAGACCGGAAGCAAGGGGTGGACAGGACCCCCAGGGTGTCTGTAGGAAAGCTGCTGGCAGAAAGGCCAGCAGGGCCGAGACCTGGGGGCTAGACTGCCTGTGGCTTTTAGGAGGGCAGGAGGCCCTAAACAAAGCAAGGGAATGGAGAGTTTTTGGCAAGCCAACCCTAGGTTCTTTTGTGATCTTATTTTCTCCTATGGCATGTTCATAGCTTCTTTTTTTCATTATGTAAACAAAACTTGAAGTAGAGATCCATTTCACAGGACCAAAATTTACTAATTACAATCTGAATTAAGATTTTAGCCTTATATAAACTCTGAAGCAAAAATGGTGTACATATATTAAAATTAAATTTTCAGTGGTGTGATTCTGAAATAATGAAACAAATTCTGTAGGACTTTGAAGGTTTTCTAATGTTTGCATTATACCTCAAATGTGTGGATTTACCTAAATTTACTTTTACTTTTTCTCCCCCCTCTCTTACAGGAAAATATACATGCAAGAGTAAGTATCTTTTTTTGATTATAGAAATCAAATGTAAAAATCACAGGGAAAAGCTGTGAATATTCGTGTCTAAGTCAGAATTACTGGTTTTTTACAAATATGTTCATTGCTTTTAATAAGTCAAAATTTTAAAAACATTTACCCTAGATATTACTGGTACATCAGATTTCAGTATTTATTTCCAGTTGTCCGAGATGATCTTATATTTTAAATTATTGTCACATATACTTTACAAAAGTACAGTTATAGTACTTTTCAAATGTATAGAATATACTATATAGTCATCTTTTTACAAGAATCCTGGGTTGCCCCACCGTGTGGGAGCCTGCAGCAGCACCAGCCCGTTCTGTGCAGCCTATTCTGTACAGCAAGGCCTGGGACAAGGGAGGGCAATCCCACTGGGGGGCTGGACAACAAGCCGTGTTGGCTTTGAGCTCTTTTCCTACCTGCTGTTCCCTGGAATAAGGAGTCAGCTGCCACATCACAGGATGAAGGGCTGGGTCCAGGGCTGAGGAACTGTTGTGCTCCCTGCCAGCGGAGGCCGGAAGAGCTGCAGCCGGGAGGGCATTGATGGGTGAGGTCTTTGCTTGGTTTCCCCACAGTCCCTTCCTCATGGAAATGGAAAATTGTCTCTGTGTGTTTTCACCATCTACTTAAAAAAAAATAGAGAGAGAAAGGCAAAGATATTTATAACTTCTAAAATGTGTACTTTGAATTATAATCTTAGACCAACATCAAAGATAACATTAAACTGATAATCATAGAACCCTTCCTTCTCTAAAGAGCCCCCCCCCCCAGGCATATGATACCATTTTTTTTGTTCTATGGCAAGAAAAATATGCATGTTCTAAACATAAGCACCCTCAGAAGCCCAGGGTTTTATGTGTATTTTTGTCACTTTCATACATGTGTTCTCCGATCACCTTTGGACCTGAGGACTCTTCGTTTCTACTTTCCTTGAGCTTTGCATTTTTTTTTAATTATTGCGGAAATGTCAGAAAATACAGAAAATCAAAATGAGGGCGGTAAACCAAGGGGAGCCCCGCCCTAGTTCATTCAAGCACACACATCTTGACTACTGTAGCATAGGCTGCCCCGCGCTTCTGTACGCGCCTCACTCATTGCTTGTCAGAGCCTCCCACACACCTTTCCGCATCCGTGAATCTAAATCCCCAGTGCTTTATGACAGCATCATATTCTGTCTCACAGAGGCGCTGTACCAAACTCTTACTGATGCTTGAATTGTGTCTCTGTCCTACAGAGATTGATGTGAGAGTTCATTCTTGTACAGTCCTTCCTGCCATAATTTGATTATTTCTTTAGGATGAATTTCTAAAAGAGGACTCGCTACATCACAGAACTTTCAGTATTCACTGCCAGCAAATTTGACAAAGTTGGACTAATTTCCATCCCCACCACTCCTAGTATGAGTTGTCCGTGTTTCTTCTCTTCACCAGTACCACATATGATTGATATCTGTATCTTTACATCTTGTGGCAACATAACGGGCCAAAAAGAGTGTTATTATTAATTTTGTTGTTATTAATTTTCACTAACAATGATCTTGAGCATTTTATATATGTTTATTTCATCTCTGATTATTTACCTTTTTATTGATTGATGACTGAGATGTTGGTCTTTGTCTAGTAGGTTTAAAATGGCTCTTTAATTAGCAGGTATATTAACTGTTTGTCATTTGCTAGTTAGCATGCTTTATGGCTATTTCTGCTTTTGTTTTTATTGTACAGTTTTAAATAGCTACATTTTAAAGATAGCTTTATCATTTCTTCTGGATTTTGTGTCTTGCTTAGAAACACCAAGATTGTTTTTCAAGTTTTATGCCATGCTTTCTTTGAGGTCTTACATAGCTTTTTAAATATTTAACTCTGTGATCTATTTGAAAATTATTTTGGTGTCAAGAGTGATTCAAGAATCCATCTTAATGATTTTTTCTGTATGGCTAGCTGATAATCACAGCTGATAGGAGCACTTTGTTTTTCCACAAAGTAGGAGCATACTTAGTTTCCATATACCCTTGTATTTATGTCTTGATTTTCTCTTTTGTGCCATTTATCCATTTAGACATGTACCCACGCCATCAGTTAGAATCCACTATCCCCTTCATCTAGTCCTTAGTAACCTCGCTCTCTCCCCAACCCCTTCCTTAGTAGATTTGTTGCAAATGGGTAGGGAGTTTAAGATAAAAAAATAATAAGGCAACTATTTCCTTGCAAACCTTTAATATTTACTTTGGTTTTCCTTTTTAAAAAGTTGCCTTTGGTTTGCTTCAGTCTTTCTCACTGTTGTGGCATCAACCTAAGTCATATCTTCAGGAGCGTTGTGCAATTTGGGGTGGGGGAGAAGAGTTCAATGTAAAATAAAAGCACATTATAGAAGATCTGAGAAACCTATCATTTTGGTCTGTAAATATTCAGTGAGAGAATGACATGTCATGATGGAGATAGAGTGGTGCCCGAGAAGAAACTGGCAAACAGAGAAGCAAGGTGATCTAGGTCATGCTGTATGAAACAAAAATGTGGAGATGTGACAGGAGTGATTGGTGAGAGTGTGAGTGTGTGCGTGTTCACATGCATGTGTGCACACATGTAATAATCAGTTCCGTGTTTGTCCATTTATCAAATGAAGATTCCACCAGATGCTCTTCAAGGTAGCTTCAGTCTCTTCTAATGATGCATCTTTTCTAATTTTGTTGATCCTTTTAGATCTGTTTCACTCTTCTAATTATGGGTGTGGTGTGTGGTCATTCCACATTAGACCTACACAACCACCATTAAAGGATAAAAACCCCACTCATCATGTTTGAAAACAGTGTCTATTTTTTAGCTACCTACAGGAAAACAAGTGACTATGTATCCGTCCACCAAAAGGAGCTGAAAGCACTTTCCACCGCTGTTTCATTGACACTGTCTGTTAATCTCTTTGCATAGATGTTAAGAAATCACTGCCTGTGGCTGAAAATGAATGATAGTGGGCTGGACAGTGGCCTGATCATGCCTGTAATGTTTTATCTCCTGTAGCATGAGTGGCAGAAGGGTTTCTCCATCTTCATGGCAGAAGTGTTTAAGGGGAGAGCCAGGTGTTGACACTCCTGTAGCAGGGCCACTGGAAGGTGCGTTGGCAAAGAGAATCGCACCGGGGAAGTCGCTGTGGGATAGCAGTGGTGAGGGACAGTGAGGGTAGTAAGAATAATTAGAGAACCGCTGCGCTTACTATAAATCTCGTGGAGGGACTGTTAAAACCTTTCAGTTTGGCAGAAGAGAAGACAAAGCTTTGTCTACTTTGCACATCGTCTTTTCAGATTTTTTTAAAATATTCTTTTTCCTTCTCCCCCCAAGATTGATTGATTGATTTATTTATACAAGCACTGGGATCAGTCAGAAGTGCGGGAGGGTGAGAGAATTCACCAGAGCCAGAGGAGAGAGCAGAGCAGGCTGACTGATGAAGTACACTGCTGAGGGGAGCAGTGGGTGCAGCAGGAGAGGTCTGCGTACCATGTGGGACTCTCGCCAGCGGTTGGGCATCAAACCGGAGCTGCAGAGGCTGCGGGCAGCTTTGCAGCCCAGCGCTCAACCGCTGCGCCACCAGGGGAGGCTCCTTTTTAGATTTTTAAATAATGAGATTACTTCCTTCACTAATAATCACAAAAATACCACCAGACAAATGTATTCTTTGTGGCTGTCTTGACGAAATACATGCTGAAATTGATTCCCTCTATTATTATAAAGCTGCTTGTTAAAAAAAAAAAAAAAAACAACATGGCAGAGGAACAAGGGTGGAGGTCTTACTGTCAGTCATTTTAGAGGACAGATGGACACATCTGTCCTTTGCTTGCTTAGAGGTTTTGGTTTAATAGTAGGCTGTCTCAGTTGCACTTCTTTCTGTTCTCCATTGCTCCTGCTTTTGTTTAGAACTTGCATCTAGCCAAATGGGGAAAAGCAATAGAAAAAATCATCTCATAGTTAATCATTAAAAAATCATAAAAATGAAATGTTCACAAGACTAATGTTTGTGAAACTGACTTGACTTATCTGTGCTGTAGAGGCAAACCAAACCTACTGGACATGGGGTCTTTGATGATCAAGCCCATCCAGCGTGTGATGAAATACCCCTTGTTACTGTGTGAGCTGCGCAACACCACCCCTGCTTCACACCCCGACTTCAGTGCTCTGGAGGATGCCTTCGCGGCAGTGAGGGACATTAATGTCAACATCAATGAGCTGAAAAGACGCAAGGACCTGGGTAAGAAGGGCATGCCGCAAGGGGCCTGCCTGCGTGCGGTGAGCTGTGAGTTTCCTGCAAGCAGAATGTCAGGCAATGGTAGTGCCCAGCAGTCTTGCTACTGGAAAGCATATCCTTGCATACTTGATTACGAAAAGTGGATTTCTCTACATGGACTTCCTGATGGTAGACTGAAAATTTTCATTTTTGTAAGATTCTACCAAATTATTCCCTTCAAAAACTGTATTGGTTTAATCCTCGACAACAGTGTATTAAGATTGCCCATCTCTCCATGCCCTCACCAATGCTGAATATTAGGAATACAATATGAATTTTGAAAAAACAAGAGGTGGAAATGATTTTCAAGGTAAAAAAAAGTTCAGTAACTCAACTTGCCCCAAGTCTCTCAGCTAATGGAAGACACTAAGGATCTGAGGTCTCTTATGTTGGATGCATTTGTCTTTTCATCAGTTAGGTGCTGATGCTTCACTCCTGAGACCCCAGACAACAAGTGTCTTAGAGAAAGGGAGAACTTCCCTATACTCTCAGGACTCTCTGTCATGTGGGAGGAGCTCAAGTACTGCTTCTCTGACCGTCAGTGAGCTGGGGGGCTGGGGTACATCTGGGCAGCGGCTTGGGCAACTGCATCTGCAGCACAGGCCAAATATCCTATAGATTTTTGCTTAAATACAAATATCAATCTCACCAAGGCTTCAAACGTGACCCACTTGCTAAGCTATATGTGTTCAGACACACTATTTTTCTGTTTCAGTTCTAAAATACAAGAAGAATGATGAAGATGAATCACTCAAAGACAAATTGTCTAAACTGAATATTCATTCAATTAGCAAGAAATCAAAAAGAGTGACAAATCACCTAAAAATCCTGACCAGAGGCGAGTCACAGGTAATCTGTCTCTTTGGACCACTTGCCCACACGACCGCTGGCATCTTTGTGCGATTCTGCCCTGTTGTTGCCAGAGCTGTGCTCTTGCCTTCTCTGTCTCTGGGGGAAATGGTGTGGGTGGTTCCAAAGCAAGCCTGGGCTTTCCACTCAGGCAACAGGAGATAGGTCAGAAGGTCATGGACACAGCTCAGGAAGGACTGACACGGGGTCCTGGCATTCCACCAGCCCACGCATGGTCTCACCCAAGGTGTTGCCCTCCTCCACCCCTGTTTATATTTTTGCCTTTTAAATCCTCAGTTTCCTTTAGGTTCTCTTGACAGTCATCTTATGTTGATTTCACTAAGTTAGCTGCACCCCCCCATCCCTACCTCTCCCCACGCCCCAGGTGCGCATTTACTACTGGCTCATTGTTTTGTGTCAGCTCTTCAGCCCCCAATAAATAATGGGTGGGCTAGCAAGGACTCTCAGGCTTACATGTATGTGAAACTTACCTGGGGAGCTTGCTAAGAGATAGACTCCAGGGTTCTACAAGTCCAAGGTGGCACCTACAAGTCTTTATTCTCACCAGGAGTCTGGGTGTTCTGAAGCTAATGAGCTGGAAGGATGTGACTAATGGAACACTCTTTGAGAATCACCAGATATAAAGTTCATGGCTCTGATTTATTAAATGCTCTTTTAACCCCAAGTAGGAAGACCAACTCTTCAGATGCTTAGTGGTCCTTATTATACCTTTTTCCTTCTCATCTGCCTGCTTCCCACACTTAATATGTTATGTCTAAGTGAGGTATGTAGTTTAAACTAGAGGCAACCAGTTTTCCACAACATGTTGACCTCACTCCCAACTGTTAGAAGAAGCTTCCTTTCTTCTCCCATGAAGTCACGGCAGCCTTCTGATCTCCTAGGTGCCAGTGGCCCCATGTGTTCCCAAGCCAGGCAGCTCTGTTATTTGGAGGTCTCAGCACAGGGCAGAAATAAAGAGCAAAGTCTTTGAAGTCATTCATATCTGGGTTTGAGCCTCACTTCTGCCACTTAGTGAGTACTTGTCCTTGGGCCTAGAATGTAAATTTAATGCAGTCACCTGTAACCGTGTGATTACACAGGTACCTCACGTATGGAGTGGTGGTGAGGATTAAGTCAGATGACACATACAAACAAGCACCTAACACAGTGCCAGCACCCAGTGTGTATTCGCTGCAGCCGTCACCACCACCACCACCACCCTCTTTCTTTTATGCCCTTGCCTTGTATCGAATTCCCCTTCCGGGGCAGACTTCTTGCTTCCCATACGGATATAAACTCCATTATGCATGCTATATTAATCATGGTTTTTTTTTTTTTTTACTTTCTGTATTTTATGCGAGTACATAGCCCTCACCACCCCTTTATAGCATGCAGTGTCCCTCTTCTCTGAGTCACCACAGGGCCAGGGCCCCACCAGCTGGAGAACACCTCGATAGCCCAGAGCCTGCTGGAATTATTCAAACTGGTCAATCTTTTTTTCTCTTCAGCTTTCACTGATTTGCCCATCATTTACACAACTGTGTAACTTTAGGCAGACAACTTCACTCTCCACGTGTGCCCACTCTTCACACAACCTCCCCCAGAGCTTCAGGGCCAGCACCCCATCCCCTCCCCTCCTGCTGCACCTCCTCCCTCCTCCATCCCCTCTGGTAAGAACTCTGTTTTTCACAGGGTCTAAGAATTATTTTTGTTGTGTTTTGCCACTTGTTTTTTTGTTGTTTATATCCCCCAATTGAGTAAGACCATATGGTAAGTATCTTTCACTTTTTGACTTATTTCACTCAGCATCACCACCTCAAGATCTATCCATTAAGTCCCAGAAGGCACCATTTCATCCTTATTCATAGCCAAGTAGTGTTCCATGGTGTACTTATCCCACAATTTCTTTATCTAGTCTTTTGTCGATGGGCATTTAGGCTGGGTCCATGACTTGGCTGTTGTGAATAATGCTGCTATCAGATAGGCATGCATAAGTTTTTTCAAATAGTGTTTTCATATTCTTTGGGTAAATAACCTAGTAATGGTATTGCTGGACCAATGGAATTTCCATTTTTATTCTTGGAGGCATCTGCATACCGTTTTCTACTGAGGCTGAATCAAGTTACATTCCCACTAACAGTGCATGAAGGGGTCCTTTTTCTCCACATCCTCAGCAGCACTCGCTGATTCCAGGCTTTTTGATATGGACCATTGTCACAGGGGTGAGGGGATGTCAAACTGGCCAATCTTAAGCTGTTTCTGTGGGTCTTCCCATAGCTACTCCCTAAAGGCTCTGGTTGGATTTCCCCTCGCTCCTTTCTGTCACCTGATCAGAACCTAGTGACTCCCTTGCAGTCCTCCATGGCCAAGGTGACCCCCTTCTGGGGCCTGAAGATATAGTAAACTGCCCTCCAGCCCTCATCCTTGTCCCCTCCTGTGGCTGCTCTGAGTTTACCATCCCGCACCGACCTGTCAGGGAGCCTGGCTGCGGTGTGCCTACAGTGCCCTCCTTGTAGGCTCGCTGCGTCTGTCGCCGTGGAAGAGGACTCCACAGCACTCACCCATCCCCATGGGGACACATAATGTGGGAGTTTGGGACCTTAGTGGTGTGCAGTCTAGATCAGGGAAAGGGAAATCAAGACATTTCAGCTAACCACCACCGTACTAAAACTGAAGTGGGACTGAGTCACTCGAGAATCTGCGGTCTCCATAGTGTGAAGAGGGACAGTTCTTGCTCACTCTGGGAAGTTGCTTCCGACTAACTTCTGCTGAGGAACAGTAGGTGGATCTCCATTCTGGGCAGGCTTCTGTAGAAGCTGCTACCTTCTTTCACATATTTATCATCCACTTCTGATATTTTTTGGTTGGCAAACTAAAAGTGAATTGTAGTTAAAGTACCCTGAAGGGATATTAATTAGATTTCCCTCCTTCATCTTTTGAGAGGATGTACTGTCAGCAATGAGGCATTTCACTGTTCATCAGAAAATCAGCTGCATAGGCTGGACTGTAAGAGAGATAAATCTCCAATCAGTCCATTTTGCACTTGTCAGCAGCTCAAGTGAAGCGTGTGTTGGAGTTGGGGCGTGAAACTATTACCTCAGAGAAGGTCCTGTTCCGTCCCTCGCAGCCAGGTGAAGGCTCATGTACCAAGCTCTGTGTTAGGGTTGGGAATGCGAAGATGCACAAGTGTGGGCTCAAAATTTGGACCAGGTGGGTTTGAGTTCTGGTCCCTCCTATTAATGAGGATAAAGGAGAGGCTTCTGTCACAAAAAAAATTGCAAAACTATGGCTTATCTCCGAGAAGTGTTCATTCTCTTGCAGTAGTCCTGAGGTGGGCATCCAAATGGGCTCTGCACCCCACGTTCCTTCGGGAGCCCCTTCTCCAGCTGTGTGCGGTGCGTACCCCAGACACATGGCTTCATCTATTTGGTTGAAGCAGGGTCACCACCATGACTTCATTCAGTCCCAGGGACACTGTCACTTTGAATGATTGGAGAGTTCCCTCCTCTACTGTCCAGCCAGGACTCAGAAATGAATTATCACTTTCACTCACATTCTGCTGTCAACACCCAGTGCCACAGGCAGAGCCCACTCCAGAGGGGCTTGGGACAGGGGATTGCAGAAGGGCAACCAGGTGTTCCAACAACCAGAGAGGGGCAGCTCCCCCCAGGAAAAGAATGCCAGGGGGTGGTTGTCTCTGCCACGCCTCTGGGAGCTTCTGTTCTGGAGCCCAAAAGTGTAGCTCATCCCAGTACTGACCTCATAAGGCTGTATCAGCATCCAAGTGAGAAGCTGCAAGACCGGTTTAGCACAGTGTTGGCAACAGTTAGTGCTTAATAAATGTTAGCTATGATGATGATTAAGATAAAATTACTTAATTCTCAGATGCTTACAATCCATCAGTGGAGAGAATCGCTTAAATAATTAACTAATGTTGTGAGAGCTCACAGGACAGGCAATTAATTTTGCACAGAGCACTGAAAGGAACTGGAGGCAGGATTCGCAGGACGAGTGACATTTGAGCGAGCCCTCAGAAAGAAACAGGATTTTACAAGGCTGAAAAGGACAGTGGCGTATCAAGGAAAAGAAAGCAGACTGAGAAAGGCTAGGCCTGGATCTCTCACGATCAAACCACCTGGGTGCCAGCTATTGTGACTCTGTGTACAATAGCTGGTGAGGGGGTTCCTAGGAAACTGCATTTTAAAAAACTTGCTCCAGCCTCCTTTTCTCATCATCCTGAGTTAGCCCACAGAGCCCCTAAGGCAGGGGTGTGAAACTGTCCGGAGATCACAAAGAACCAGGCTCCACTTGAATCAGAATTTTTTTAGATGAACAATCTGAAGGGTTTTTTAAGAAGTCACCATTTTCTATGTATCGGTCTAAGGCATTAAATTAACAAGCATCTGAACCGAGTATGGGAGCTATTATCACCCAACCCCAACGTGCATCTTACACATCACACTCCGCGAGATTGTTGCTTGTTCTCATGGATTTGGCCAGCATGAGGCTGGTGCTGTCTCCTTTTGTAACCATTGTGATGGCTGAGAAATACTGCTCAGCATTAATAATGATAAGTGTATGTGCCTAGAAATCATCACAGCATTGAGAAAGCCTATTTTCCTGACTGCTAAGAGGTCTATGTGTACGATAACAAAAAACAGCCGCACAGGTGGCCACTGTCTTAACTCCACAGTGTTTTCCTAACGGAAGGACAAGTTTCGCTCAGATTACATATCAGCCTTCCTATTTTGAGTTGCTAAAGAGTCGTTGCATTTCTTTAGTCAGGAAACAAAGAATTTTCTACATAACCACTGTGAAATATTGGGATAAGTCACATCAGCAAAGGGATAAATTCCAGTTAATGGATTAAGTTTTTATTTTATTTGTATTATTTCCTGAACCCATAAGTTCACACAATTTAAGAGTATATGTACTGCGTGCCATTGAAACTGCAGAAAAAAGCTGCATGTCCTACAGCCTACGTGACACAGGCGCAGCTATGTGAGAACGGAAACAGGCTGTCTGCCCTGGTAGCCGTGCTGCCTCCTGGGCTTAGACTCAGTTGTGCTGTGCACGGAGAGAAGATTCTGTGGAGGCTGTCAGCATGTCATGAAGGGTTCGACTCAGCAAAGAGTCTGTCATGGGTTGGTCAATATGGTTCATGCTATTAAAAAAAAAAAAAGTTCTAAAAATAAACAATTTCTATCTATTTTAGGTGAAAGACAGTACCTTTAATAGAGAAGAGAAGCTATTTAGGTCCTTGGAAAAGACCGTAAGGCACTGTGTAAAGAGTACTTCATTCTGTCTCCAGCACATACAGGTAGGTGAGGGGCACCGTGTCCAAAGTTTCCACAACAAGGTGTTGAAGTCCGTGGCTATTCGGAAGCGTAACTCTATCACTTCACTTGTTCCTGTGTTGGCACCTACCATATCAAACTTGGGTGGCTGCAAACTGCTGAGACAGAAGCCGGTGTAAAGACTTAGGGCTCTGCCCAATCCAGCTCCCCCTATCGTATGACATTCTTCATGCGATTTCTGAGGGACTTGCCCGCCAGCATCCTTGCTTTACTACAGAAAAGAGCTCATCAAGGCAAAGCTACAGCCTAGTTCATTTTTTTATTTGTTTGATTATACTAATATATAAGAATAGGACTGGGCCTCCCCTGGTGGTGCAGCGGTTGAGCGCTGGGCTGCAAAGCTGCCCGCAGCCTCTGCTGCGCCGGTTCGATCCCCGGCCACCAGCGAGGATCCCACATGGCACGCAGACCCCTCCTGCTGTGCTCGCTGCTCCCCTCAGCAGTGTACTTTGTCAGTTTGCCTGTTCTGCTCCCCTCTCTGGCTCTGTTGAATTCTCTCACCCTCCCGCACATCTGTCCTGTACCCTGGTTCTTGTATAACATTAAATCTTTAAAAAAAAACAAACACAAAACCCACACATGGGTCTGGTCTTTAGCTGTCAGCTGCCTGACAGTTGGCCCCCCAACACCAGCAATCACATAATTCCAAGACAACTGAGCATTTCTACTTATTTTACAGGCAGTGTCCCGTTATGGCCCCTTTATAGTTCTGATTAGATGCATAAGTAATTCAACTCTGTCCTTAAAAGAAAATCAATATGGGCCTCCCTGGTGGCACAGGCTGTTGAGTGCAGTGCTGTGAGGCTGTCCGCAGCCTCTGCAATGCCAATTTGATCCCCGCCGGCAGCAGAGATACCCACATGGCGAAGCAGACCTTTCCTGTCATGCCCGCTGATCCCCTCAGCAGTGTATTTCAGTCAGCCTGCCTGTTCTGTTCCCTACTCTGTCTCTGCTGAATCCTCTCACCCTCCCACACATCTAGCCTATACCCCCATTCTTGTATAAATAAAATCTTTTAAAAAATATATGAAAGTAAATAAATTTTAACAAATTAGATGAATTCCAATATGCAAATTCTCCATAGCAGAAGTAGAAGACATACACTCCCCCACAAAGTCCCCATCCCCCAGGAGGATTTCCTGCCCCATTGGAGAATCACTGACTTAAACAAACCAAGTGGAGTAAGTGTAATTATCTTCAGCAGAAAAAGAGCAGTCAGGATTTCTCTTCACAGACCCTCTGAAGAGGACATCCTAGCTGGGTCTTGACTATAAGCCTGAGGAATTACATGTAATTCAGTTAATAAACGCCTCCTCCCCATTTGCCAGTCTGTCTCTTTGATGTCTGTGAAAGCACATGTTTGCCCACCCAGATAAAATGTCACACTGACTTCTGCCCTCTTGGCAACTTTGTTCTTGGGTTTCAGGAAGCCATGCCCTTAGCCCTGCAGAGTGCGGTGGGGCTTCATGAGATCTCATACAGCGAAGATGAGGAGGAGAGGAGCTGTCCCGAGGCCCCCAGGAGTGCCCCAAATCCCTGTGACGACTTTGTAAGTTATAAGTACCTCTATTCAGAGATAAGTGCAAGTTAAAAAAAAAAAAAAGCTGCTATTTTGTTATTTTTTTTTTTTTTAGAATTAGAAATACAGTGAGCACTAAAGCAAATACTAATATCAACAGCAGCAAGACTGCTTTTATCATTAAATATTTTAAAGTGGGTAAGTGAAGATTTCACTATAATCCAAATTTAATAGGACCTCCGATTGTGTTTCTAGGGGAAGTCAGTACCCATACAGCTTGTAAAATCAATATTTAGTTTAAGTCTGCATGTGATATATCAAGGATTTATTAAGTTAAGAAGGAGTCTTAAAGGAGTCTGTGGAAACTTCCAGAGTCCTTATCGGGAGAGGAGGGACTGAGAACGTAACTTTCACTAGCAGACTCTGCATTGGGAAGTAAAGCCTTTCTATTGAGAAAGGGCTTTTACCTAAGATCATGGATTGGTGCTTCTGTTTTGTGGCAAAGTACTTATTTTCTAAGAGTTCTGTGAAAACAGCTTGGGAATCTTTAAAACATTCTCGAGCCAATAAAATATTTGGGTGGTAAGCTAGTCTGAGGAGTAGTCTATAGGTATTCTTACAGTATTTCAAGTAGTTTATGGAAGATAAAATAGACTCCATCATCCTGAGGGTCTTTGGAAGTGGCATTTTTGGGTTGGCACATTAGCCTTTTGGGTCAGACAGATCTTCATGGAGCATGCCTTGCTGGGAGCTGTTTGGCATTTCTCACTGATCAGGTTCTAAATCTCAGCCACATCCCCTACCTCAAGTCATAGGACATCTGATGACTGCTCCCACTCTGATAGAAAGACACTGGGGAATGGAAAGTCACAGATGTTAAATAATTAGGTGGGGACATACATACATACATACATACATACATATACTGGATGCATGCATGGGTAGGTATACGGAGGGAAGGAAGGAAGAAAAATGGTGGGTGGGTGGGTGGGTGGTGGGATGGGTGGGGAGGTTGGATAGGTGGTTGGATAAGTGGAAGGATAGGTAGATGGATGAGTAGGTGGACAGATGGATGTATGGAGGGGTGGGTGGATGGATGGGTTGATGGAGAGAACAGGTGGGTAGGTAGAGAGATACAGAATAGAAGTTTTTATGACATGCTAAATGCGAAAAATGTGACTAGGCTTAATTATAGACAGCACATTTTAGCAAAGGCTTTAGAAAGGGCTTGCTCTTCCAATTCATTAATTAAGTTGACAAGTACTTATAGAGCACCATGAAAGAGCATGGTATATGACTTCTTCTTCATCAGGCATGCCCTGAAATTTGACAGAAAGTAGACAGAAGGGGTCTCTCCCTATCTTGCATAAAACCACAAGATGATAAATTAGGTTAAATTAAAATAATTACCAGAAAGCTCAATATGAAAGTAACTTATGGATAAAGTATATTGAGCTCTTTAAAAATCAATTATTAAGAACTCAAAATCTATCTAAGAACGGAACAGTTATTTTTATCTTAAGCCTGAGCGATTCCTATCTGCACGCTATGTAGAGGATAAAATATTAAAATCTATCTGATATCATCCCTGTGTACAGCTGAATCAGTTCATGTCTATAGGTTACAGAACATATGTGCATTTATACATACATTAATACATGCATAGATACATGTATATAGTAATAATTTCATAATATCATCAGCTTACCTGTAGAATCCAGTCAAGTCACAAACACAGTAATTCACCCCACAGCAGTAAACAGAATCTTTGCTTACTCAGAGGAAACATCAAACAGCCTGCAGGTGCCTATTGATTATCTTGGAAGCAAGACATCAAATTTAATCTGCCTTGCGATTGCTGGTGCCAATAGGAGATTGGTTTTCCCTCTCTTCTAGATTTCCCCTGAGTTCAGACAAAGCTTCTAGAGACCATTTAAGTTAATTAATACAAGCTGCTGCTCAGATGCTGACTCCCCAGGACATTCGGGGAGCACCTTTGCCATACGTAGCCATGTAACCTATGCACATGAGATCAAGAGTGAAGTCAGGCAGTCAGTGACGTTCCAATGCCAGCGCCCTTCAGAGCAGAAGGGGAGAAAGAAAAATAGAAGGAATTAAACCTGGGGGCCAGCATGGGGTGGGACATTAAGGTGAAGTTCATCTTCAATGATTGGACCTGAACATCTTACTCTTAAGACACAGCGTTATATCAGCTTGATCCTTCAACATATTTATGAGGAAGCAATAACTGTGACCCTTTCTGTCACAGGAGCAAAATACTGTAAGGCTTCTCTCTGTCTAGGCATGCGACTCCACTCCTAAAGAGGAACACCAGGGGAGCCAGGGACCTGGGACCGATGTAGGTGGGACCGGGCATTGTCTTCTCAGATGGACCACCTTTTATTGCCAGCAGAGGAAGGGGAAGCATGGTCAATCATTCACGTAGTCTTGGTGGGCAGAGACAACCTCTGTGTTGAGTAGCTCTTGAATTAGAAAGAAGGGGAAGGAGAGAGTGTTGGAGATGACCCCAAAGACAGATGCAGTGACTGTCGAGAAAGATGGAACATATTTTGGGAGTGCAGGTCTTAACTTTTATGTTCTTCCTCTTGCTCACTCTTCAGGTTCAATGTTAGTGTTTAGTGTCTGTCTCAAGTCCTGCACAGGTTTAGCAAGACAGAACAACAGCCACATCCTCTTTTAACTGGGAGGGTGCTTTTCCGTATTCCTCTGTTGGTGGGGCCCATTGCTGATGGTGCCGAATGTGGCTTGGCCACCCCTCTCCATGACAGGGTGCTTTTTCCTTGCAGGCAGCCCATCTACAGAGGCTGGTCCTGACGCCCCTGTCTGCCTTGCTGTCCCTCTTCCCGGGGCCACAGAAGCTTATCCAGAAACGTTACGACAAGCTGCTGGACTACAACAGCTACCTGCAGCGGGCGGCAGGTGCCGAGTCGGACTTGGCCAAGAAGGAGTATGAAGCTCTCAATGCACAGCTTGTGGAGGAGCTGCAGCTGTTCAACCAGGCAGCCCGGAAGATTCTGCTGAACTGTCTGTGCACCTTCATCACCCTCTTCAGGGACCTGACATTGGTGGCCCAGCGGCTTTACCCCACAATGGGGCTGGTAATCACTCATACTTGCTGCCCCCTGTGGGGTCTGCCCCAAGCGCCCATACCACAGCCTGTGCAGGACATGCACGTGTATACATGTGCATACTGTGTGAGTGCATGTGTGAGTGTGTGCATCCTTATGAGTGTGCATGCATGTGTGCACATACATACCATATGAGTGTGCTTGTCTGTGCGTGTCTGCCATTTATTTTAATGGCAGTTCTGCTTCTCTGCTCTCTTCCCCCAGGAAGTGAAAGCACAGTTTTCTAGTTCTAGTTTACTGTAACTTCCAACTTCAGTTCTTTTAGGGCACTCCGTTTCAGATAACTGACACCATACAGCCTTGCTCCGCTCATCGGTGCAACAGCTAGAGTTCCACCTGCCCAAGGCCCTGTTGAAGCTTATCGGTTTACATGATGTGTTCCCTTCTCCTTCAGCAGTTTGTAAATGATCACCTTGACTCTAAGATGTGGATCCAGAAGAAGCCAGCTCAGAGCAGTGTCAGAGATAGGATAACTGCCACCAGTGTCGCTTTTGCTTTTGTTTCCCTCTAAGAAAGAGAGGCCTGATACATATGCGTGTACACGTATGTGTATAGACATTTATACACATGTACACATACATGCCACACATATTATATGCATGTATATATAAATTATGTTTCCATTAGGATAGAGGGAGAAAGATGTTCACACCTCAGTAGCACATTGAAAAGGCCATCTTAGTTTCTTGGTGCTTCATTTCAAGTGGACTAGTCTTACTCAGCTGATGAGGTATTTGATGGACAACGCTTAGAGCAGAATTCACTGCCCGCGCTTTTGGCTGCACGCATCTGATGATTGCAGCCCCTGCGGTCCCCATCTCAGCACCCTTGCCCACGTCCCGGCTGTCTCCCACTAAGGTGGTACGTTTCTGGCGTAGGTTACCATGGACTATTGGTTGGTTGGTAACGCATATAAATGGAATCATATATATTCTTCTGTGAACTCTTGTGTCCCTTTTGGTGAGTAGCTGGACTGAAATCGTTTATTACAAATAATGCCCTGGGCATTTTAGATGTGGGCAGATAGACCTTTAGTAGAGATTTTTAGCAGTGGAACCTATGGACCACAGGGCAGATCCACCTGGAATCCTGCCTGAATGGCGAGATCCTCTCCCAGAGGGCTGTGCATGTCAGACTCTCACCTCCAACACAATACCCGCTGGCTTTCCTCACTGCTGTCAAGCTGTAGTTTTCGAATACAATGATGTGACATACATCCTTTTACAAATGGCTGTTCAACACTATTTATTAAAATCAATCAGAATGTCCCAATGCTATTAATTTTGTTGTTTTCTATGAAACTCTTTTAATTTGCAGTTTCCTTACTTTTCTCCCAAGGCCAATGGACAGAAACCTTGTATGTATCCCATGTGGTCTCGCTGGAAGCATGTTCTTAGGTTCACAGTAGAGAAAATGCACGTCACTTCAGGTAGCTCTGTCCCCACGTCCAGTCATAGGATATCTAACAGTGCCTTCAGTTTGGGCTCTGTATTGCCTCTGTATCTTTCACATAGCAGTCCAAGCACAGGAATGAAAGGTGCTTTGTTTTTTGTGAAGTGATTAATGCCCTTAAAGCAAAGAGCACGTTGACATTTAACCTTGTAAAGATGATGTAATTACGTATTTTCTAAACTTTTGTTTGAAGTCACTCTAGATTCCCTTGGCTTCACCCTGGTGTCTAGATGCTCTCTATCCCACTAATCGCAGAGAAAACAGCTTCTTCTGCCAGGTGCAGGAAGCAGTGGTCCAGTCTCGCTGGAAGGAGAAAGAATCTGGGACTCAGCTTCTTTGAAAGCAGTCCCAGCAGCCAAGATCTCCATAGGAGGCCACACCCAGCATGGCGGTCACTCACTGGGACACTATCCCATGGTCCTGGCGTCCACTGGGCTCCAGGTCTCCCCCTGGGGTTGCAGCGATGTAACAACAGGGCACACGCTGGAGGGTGGTGGTGGGATGATCCTGGGAGACTCGTGGAGATGCCCAAACTTTTGGGCTGCACCAAGACTGCACCCCCTCTTTATCTCCCCACACGCCTGGTGGCTGTGGTGGCCGGGGTACAGCTGGGCTTCCAGAGCGAGTGTGCTTGGACGAAGCAGCAGAGCCAGTGTGGCCAATGTTAGCCTAACTTGAAAGTCAGGCAGCATCACTGCCACTGTTCTGTTCATTTCAACATTCTGTTCATGGAGGCAATCCTCAGGGACCCCCAGTTTGGAGGGGAGGGGATGCGGACTCCACCTCTAGATGGGAAGCATGTCAAAGAATTTGCTGAATTTCTAAAATTTCTAAAAAACCAATGAAACTTGTTTTAGCATCTTTATCCTCCTCCCTCTACCATCCCCACACTGGAGGTGTCTGTTGCTATAAATAACTGCCTTTAAAAAAAATTGCTGTTTTTTCTTATGTACTCATTTTATTTAGGCTTACATACCTAAAAAGACTATGCCTGTCATTTTTGTGGGATCTCTGGAGATAGCATTTAGACCAGATGTATCTAGAAGCTCAAGGGCTGCTGACCTTGAGCTGTGGAGCTAGCTCACACGTTCTCAACTATCCAGCACAACTGCGCTAAATTCAACACCGAGTAGGGTTAGGACAACATCATCTGCTTTCTACCTGCAGGCACCTCTGTCGGCCTCAAGCATCTCTGAAATTCAGAACCGAGTGCTAGAAGAGGTTCAAAACCTGAACTTTGTAAAGGACAACAGCGCCACCTTCATTGAGAGGAAGCTCAGTTTTGAAAAGAAGAAGCCTGTGCAAATTCTGGTGAGTTTGGGGCATTCATGACCACGAGGACATCACTTCTCGGTAGCATATTCCTTTTTCTGTATCACTTGTCTCATTCTCAAGCCCTCATATGTCTGTGAGCTTGGTAAGGTCACAGATTTGTGTCTGCCTTTATCCATGAATATTCCAAACTCCTAAAACGGTGCCTGGTACCGTTTTACAGAATGAATGACATCTACAGAATAAATGAGTAGAATTTCATGGAGCAAAATCACATTGCTCAGCCCTTTCATTTTTCTGGAATGAGGAACTTCAGGCTCCAGAGATGAAGTGACTTTCTCAAAGTGACTTACAGGCGGAGCTGGGGTGGGGCCAGGCCTCTTCTGCCTAATTTACTGTACTAGTTCCCAGAAAATGACAAGCACGGGTGCAAATTATTGAACTAAGTATTGTTTATCAAGTGCTCCCTTCACAGTCTTTTCCCTGCGGGAAGCAGAACCCCTGCCCTCTTACTCCTGGTTTAATTTCCCTCGCTTTCCCCAACACTGCCCAGACAATCTTCACCCGGTCTCTGCCTCAACATGAAATACTTAAATCAATGAGTGGCTTCTGTCCTGAGAAGAAATATACCCCAGGGAGGAAGTTTTGTCCATCCTGGGAAGGTGAACTCCTCCTTGCTTCTCTCAGCCAGAGGCACCGCGTCAGACCGACGCCCATCGCTCGAAGCTCCTCTCCATGTACAGTACAGAGGGGCTCTACCAGGCCAAGCGCAAGTGCAATGCCACCCAGGAGCTAGACATCAACCTGCTGGAAGGGGAGCTGGTGGCTGTGATGGAACAGAAGGACCCCCTGGGGAGCAGCAGCAGGTGGCTCGTGGACACAGGGGGTGAGTTTGGGTATAAGATGCACTGTGGGGCCCCCTCCTTCACATCGGGTTTCCCAGGGCGCCTGTGAGTACCTGCAGCCCAAAAGTTTGGGCAGAGTATATGCATGACGTGTTTCTTGTCTTTTCCCGTCCAGTTTTATTTTTTTAATTTTTATTTTATATAATTCTTACATCGTTTTTCATTTTTGCATAGTGTATGCATCTTTTGGCTATATTCCCCATACAATTCCCACCACCCCTTATTTTCACCCTAATCCCTCCTCTCCTCCCCTTGCCCCCTCCCCGTAGTGTGTCTCTGGTTTATAGTTGCGTGTTGATTTTAATTTTTTATTTATTATAATTATTCTTTTTCCTGGTTCTTATTTAGGTTTTCTAAATTCCTGCTATGAGTGAGGCCATATGATATTTTTCTTTTTCTTTCTGGCTTATTTCGCTGAGCATGATCCCTTCCTGCTCCATCCATGTTGCTACAAATGGCATGAGTTCATCTTTTTGATTGCTGAGTAATATTCCATTGTGTATATGTACCACATCTTCTTGATCCAGTCATCTATTTTGGGGCATTTGGGTTGTTTCCATAGCTTAGCTATTGTAAATAGTGCTGCTATAAACATAGGGGTGCAGGGTACCCTTTTGAATTAATGATTCTGTATCCTTGGGTAAATACCTAGGGGTGGAATTGCTGGACCATATGGAAGCTCCATCTTTAACAGATTGAGGAGTCTCCACACATCTTTCCATAGTGGTTGGACCAGTTTGCACTCCCACCAACAGTGCAGGAGAGTTCCTTTTTCTCCACATCCTCCCCAATGTTTGTTGTTGATAGTTTTTTTTAATATGTGCCATTCTCACTGGTGTAAGATGGTGTCTCATTGTAGTTTTGATTTGCATTTCCCTGATTACAAGTGATGTTGAACCTTTTTTTCATGTCTAGTTTTAAAGGGCTACGTGTACTCCTCCTTCCTCAAACCCTACAATCCAGCCAGAGTGCAGAAGGCGGATGGCGATGGCAGGCTGCGCGAGGAGGATTTTGATAACATCAACCTCTTCGTGTCCTCCCGGCCAGCCAGTGACAGTGTGACAGGCACCCCAGAGGGCAGCATCAGCGACAGCAGCTCCTCCCTCAGTGGCATGTGTGGGAAGTTTGAAACAAACGGCACTGATGCTGACAGTTTTCAAGAGGTGGAAGAACAGGTAAAAGCTGAAAGCCTGGTGGAGGCAGGCGTAGCTGTGCTGGCCCCAGAGCTGCTCCCTGTTGTATGCTGAGCCCCCATGGGGGGACTTGGTGCAGGATGGGTGGCAGCCAGGGCCTGGCTCTAGCAGCCCTAATGCTGGCACACTTTTCTGCAAGAAGCTCAGTCTCTGAGCCTGCTTCCTCAAACGAGGAAGAGAAACAGGCACTCCAATGACAAGTACACGTTAAGTCCACAGCGTGGAGCAGACAGCCTGTCACTGAGCAGCCTACCATAACACGCTACCAGGGGCCTGCAGACGGCCTTCTTATGCTCCCCCCAAGAGCGAAAACAGCTCAGTCCTGCCATGACCAGTAGCATGTGTAACGTGGTCTGTGGCCCCTGAGAGGGTCCCCTCGCTGGGCAGTGTTGAGCTCCTATAATGCCACACACAACCTACCCAGACCTTTGATGGGTCTCCACACAGCACTGGAGGCCACCGGCACAGTCCTTTCCAAGATGGTGAGCTCCATGTAAATTAGGGTTTCCTTTTGCTACCCCAGAAGCGTTTCAATATATTTAACCTTGGAGTTTGACATGTATGTGTGCGCGCTCCATTACTCTTAACTAGCAGAGTCTGCTTTCCACATATCCCCTTGCATGCACACACGTGCACGCATGCACACACACATACACAGGTTCCTGGTTTTGACTTGCTTTTTTCTTTAGTGTGTTTTAAAAATTTATTCATCACATTTGTTATTTACAGGGCAATGCATGTTACTGGTGAAATGTTAAAAATAGTAGGAAGACATACTTAGATAAATTAAAAGTTCTGTATTCCCTCTTCTCCAGCCCTTCTCCAGAGAAATATTAAGATGTAGCTTTGGACACTTGAAACTTACATAATGTTATAAATCTGTGTTATTTCAATAACAAAAGCTCTAGCTTTTCAGACACTATGCAGATACACTGATGGGTGAAAACATGTAAACATTTTTTTTCACTCCAAGTATCTTGGACAAAATAGCACCTAAATATCTATCAGTAACTCCTTCTTTTAAAAATTCTGCATTTCATTACATGGATATATCATAATTTGTGTAACTATTACCCTAACAACATGTAGAATATTTGGGGGACTTAAAAATTTTAAACTATTTCAGGCAAGACCCTGTTCATATGGTTCTGGGCACTTACCTAAGTGTATCTACAAGACAAAGTCCTACAGACTTTGCAGGCTGAAAGTATTGATAGTGCCAAACCACTCTTCAGCTACTTAGTTTCTTTCATCAACAATCCATGGATTGCTGTCCAACTTATGACTGATTCTTTTTTTTTTAATAAACAGCTTATATGGTCATTCTTATATACCATAAGGTCTATCCATCTTGCATATACAATTCAGTCATTTTTAGATTACAGATTAATAAAATGTTAATGTGTCTTGATCAAAATTTATTGACACTTAAAGTTAAAATGGTATAGGTGAGAACAAGTAAACTTTTCAAAAAAATGAGAAGTCCTTCAGTTCTTTAATCCATAATGGGTTAAAAATTCCTAACTGGGGCCTCCCCAGTGGCGCAGCAGTTGAGCGCTGGGCTGCGAACTGCAGCCTCTGCAGCGCCTGTTCAATCCCTGGCCGCTGGCGAGGGTCCCACATTGTGTGTGCAGACCTCTTCTGCCGCGCCTGCTGCTCCCCTCAGCAGTGTGTTTCGTCATTCTGCCTGTTCTGTTCCCAGCTCTGGTTCTGGTGAATTCTCTCACCCTCCCGCGCTTCTGACTGTACCCAGTACTTATATAAATAAATAAATAAATAAATCTTAAAAAAAAAAAAATTCCTAACTGTTCTAATGCTATTGACAGGATGGTCTCTTTAAAAGCAAACTTAATGCTGTTTTGAGTATCTAATGTTACATTAAACGGAGGCATAAATATATTGTAGAAGAACTTAAAAATGATCATCCAAAATTAATTTAGGACCACAATCATCTAAAGTATTGAAAGCATAGGTAATAATCTTGTACTTTAAATTTACAATTTCAGGAGACGCCATATGCAGTGTTTAAAACAGATATAATTTCATACCCCGTAGATCTAGGTGGAAGATTATATAGCCCCCTGAGAACATGTGCCAAAGTAAAAGACCACCTCAAATATTTAGCAGTCATATAGTCGACCTGGTAAACACCTATGTTACAATGGTGTGCAAAGCACATATGTTGTTTAAAAATTACAGAAGATATTTAGCACCTGTTAATGTCAGCGCTTACAGGATGTTCTGGATGCCATTATAGTACATCATATTACTAAAAGCTTTTGCAAATCAAATCCTCCACTTCCTCTTGTGGATCTTTTCAGTGTTTTAACTTTCTGAACAGCAGTGATAACAGTGTATTAGCCACTCCAGGCTCCTTCACAGGATTACAGTCTGCCTCATGCGAGAACACATTTGGTTTTTGAGTGAGGAGGTATGGTCCTAGGAGCACGGAAACACCCTTTTTAATGGCTGAAGGTTTCCTTAGTGTTAAGGGTCTAGAAAACCATTCTATTCCCACTCCTCGCCCACTTTTCACCTTACAAAGGGTCCCTGCAGAACCAAAATTGTGCAGACATCTCCCTACCAATGTTCTTTCTATGGAAGCAATTCTTTAAAGCTATTACTGAATCAGGAAGAATTAACTTTAAAAAAATCTTTTACTGCCAAGTTGCCTTTAGGCACACAGTTTAGACTCCTCTCAACAGAATAATAACTTTCATTCTGTTCTCATTAGGGCCACTTTTAGCAAAAATAAATCCAAGAGGAGTTGAAGATTGTGGCTTTAAAAATAAGGCAACTTTGGCATTCCTTCTAAAAGCTTGGAGAACTTTGTGATGTTTGTCTAGATTTGTAGGTTTTGTTGCCAACACTGTCCTTTGCTTCTGTGTCTAGATTTTCTATGCAGTCCATGCCTTTCAAGCACGGAGTGACCATGAACTCAGCCTTCAGGAATACCAGAGGGTGAATATACTTAGATTTTGCGACCTAAGTGGCAATAAAGAGTGGTGGCTGGCTGAAGCTCAAGGACAAAAGGGATATGTGCCAGCTAACTACCTGGGGAAGATGACTTATGCCTAAGGAAACAAGCCTTGGACTTTTATTTTCTGGCAAACTGTTGATTGACTACCTCATAAAACTGACAAGACAACAAAATGTTGCCTAGAAATTGGGAAATGTCCAAAAGATATGAATTGATACTGTGTCAGGATTTAAGGCGCTTCCTACCAAGATCATTTCAAAATGTATTATGAAGCTTACATGTGGAAGGAAACAGAAAACACAGAGCCAGCAAAAGCAACAGCCCACTGTCCAGCTACCAGCTACTTACATGGAGGTCTTCGAGAAGGTAAATGTGCTCTTATCATGGGAGCTTGGCTCTGAGGAGAGAATTTTAATTTGCTGTACTTTATTTTATTTGGCTGTATCATGTATTTTGCCTCCAATGTTTTGGCTTTTCCTAATTGTGTCTCTTGCACATATATACACATGACATGTACATTACGTGGTTTATACACACTGTGGGATAGACACCCGTATGCATAAACCAGGGAGCACATTCAATACACAATCAAGTAACTGCTAACTAGAAGTCTTTGATACAGAACCTCTAATGTAAATTTTGAATGAAAAAAACTGGAATTGTGTGAGAAGCATCATGTCTAACTAACATCACTAAACGTGTTCACGTCTAGATGCTTTAGACACGGTAACGGTAGCTGATCTGACACTCACAGCAGTGCGAGGGAGCTGTGGCCACAGAGATGAAGTCCTTTAGTCCAGTTACGTGGCTTGTAAGTGGAGGAGGAGGGGCTCTAGCCCATGTCTGGTTCTGGAGCCACACTTCTAGCCACGACCCCGGACTAAGTCCAGGGGAGACAGATGTGCTATTGGCAAAGCACTTAGTGATGCAAACCCCTGACACTGATGAGGACCCTCTTCCTCTCAGGCCCTAATGGAGAACTGAGCAGCTTTTCAATATCCAGGGCCAGGACTCCTCAGACTGCTACATGTCCTTCCCATAGCACTGCTGTTCAGGTCTGTGATTCCCCAACAGAACCAACAACAAATGTCCTTGTGCTTAAAAAAAAAAAAAAAAAAAAAAATCAAGGGGCTATAAGAGCTTCCATGTTAACTTACAGAAAAGGAAATAAGTAGTTTATTATTTTTATTGTTTTGCTTAAACATTTTTGAAAGTATAATTGTTAAAAACTATCCTACGTGATTGCTAATGATTTTTTTCTAGTTTAGATCATTTGTTTTAATCAGCTTTCATTGATTTACCATTCGTTTACAAAGCTAATGATACTTTCATGAGGAAGTATTTTTGGATGGCTCAGTCATTTGGGTGATGAATGGGGAATGTGTGTTCTGTGTTCTGAGCCAAGACAAAAATATTTTTAGTAGCAGATTTGTGCTAAGACAAGGCAGGCACTGAGAATTTCATGTGCTGGGACACCAGACTTCAGTCAGGCATAGCTGAGAACTGTCCCTGAAGATTTCAGGTATATTTCGTCAAAACATTTTATTGAACTAAAGATGCTTCTCTGAAACAGGAATGGTTAAATTTGACTTAGTGGTTTCCTTAAAAACCAAAATAAGGTGGACTTTCCTTGTCCGCATAAAATGTGCTATTATATATTAAGACTTGATTGCTATTTTGAAAGATTTGATACCTATATTTTTGTTACATATATTGTGGAGGAATGAATACAACAAAATCAAGAGTGCTGCTTTTCCAAGGGCAGCTGTCTTTAACATACATATTTGGCATGTACAATCACAGAAATTCATGAAGAGATTTACGTGTGAAATTTGCATTTTATACTTCTGTTGTTAAAACTGTTAACCAAAACATGGTTTTATAAGGTTCTACTGGCAAATTATTTCTACATATTTTCTTATTTTGAGTTGAAAGCCAAAAGTCTATTTTTTAAATATAGAAGGAATTTTTGTATTTTTTAGATGGTCCTTTCTACTGTATTTTGAAACATAAAAAAATTCCATTTTGTCTAGGGAAAATCCAAACTTGCTACTTCTGGAAACTATGAATATGTCCAGAAACTGAAAGAGTGGATAGATGCATGCAAAAATACACATTTAAGTTTGCTGTGGTATTTATCTAATACATTATAATTAGTACAGAAGGTCTAATGCATAGTTAACATACAAATACAGCACTGTATGAAATACTTTTAGTGCTGGTATATTCTGTATTTTGTTTAAAGTGTGTGTGTGTGTATGAAATTTGTGACCTCAATACAACCTCCAAAATGAAGAATTATGTAAGTGGAACATAACTGATTTTCTGGCTTAGATAAGTAACTCCAGTTCATGAGAAGTGTTGCCTACCCGCGTGACCCCCAAAAGGCCGCTTCCTGTCTGACCTGGGAAGTAGGCACCCCACTTGACCACAGCTGCAGTGAGCTCTGAGCGCAAGCTTTGAGGAAGCCCACTGAAGCCGCTGCCCTGGGGAGGAACACATATTAAAATAAAACTATTGTTGTGCTTTGAAAAATACAAACTACATTTCACATTTTGCTTAGATCTTACTTTTTTTTTTTAAATGTTGTAAATACCCTCATTTTCTAAGTGTGTTGTTTAAAATCAAGTTGTTTTGAGCACAGCCATCTTGTTGGGCCTAAGAGAAATAAAAATTCCAAGATAGGAGATGTGTTAAGTCCTCAAGTGAAGTTTACAAAGAGAAAATAGCTGGTGTCATCCTCATAATTATGGCGAGGTAAGTTAATATAATTACTCCTTTATTTTTAAAATTAAATGTTATTGTATAGAATTCTCTGAAATAGATTATTTTTATCAAGAATAAAGGGGAATTTTTTGTGGTTTTCTTTGTAAAACAAGCAGTGTATGTATATGTTTTACTTAGGTTTTTTTTTTTTTAATATCGATGCTCTAAACTAACAGTATACATAATATTCCTTAGAAATCACAAAAATGCAGCAATCCGAATCCCCATGGGTGCTTGTTATGTGAAAAAGCCACAAAGCCACTATTTGAACATTCTGTGCACTTCAGAAAAATAGCCTGTTTTAGGATTTATTAGTATAAAACAGTTCTATGCAGTTCTTTCCAATGTTAACAGACAAAGGCATCACTGCAGGAAATACTTTCAGTGTGCTATTCTCTGTTTTGCCTAAAATGTAACTTGGATTTTTAGAGATGGCACTTAAGTGGCTGTCACTATTTGTGAGGAGTGGTTTAGATGATTTATAACATTGTTTTTTTCACTACTGAAAAATGAACTTAGAGTCTATTCACTTTTCCCACAAACTTCTTGGATTTCTGTCTTTTGCAAAAACCTATATACACTAAATAATATATATTAAGAACTCTGTCATTAGGTTCCGTACACTCTACAAAATTAAAAGGAATCTTTACATCGAGGCTAGAATTCTAGTGGTGTCTATGTAAGCCAGCAACTGCTTTCATGAGATTGTATGCTACAAACAGCAAGACTGCTTCAGTTTTTCAGGGAAACTCGCTTTAATACTAGAATGAGATTTTCTTGTCCAAAAATCTAGGGGGATGTATTGTTCATGAATGAAATAAAGCTTATTTTACTTACAAAAAACACCATTGTTCTATAAATGTATTTATGGCATTCTCAAATTATTTATAACTATAGTACTCATAATTTACTTTTGTGAAATAGTGTATTTCTTATATTACCTAAGGACATCATGATATAATTCTTGATCTCAGTTACTAATAAATAGTACTAATTAATATATTCTTGTTAAGAGTCAGAATCACCTAACTTTTAAGCAGTAGATGCTTCCATTTTCATAAGGGAGGAAAGCGAGGCTCACACATCCAAAACTGGAGGGACTGGGGCTCCGAGCCAGGTCTTCTTGACTGAGGAACACTGTTCTTTCAAAGTAAGATCTATGGTTAAATAATTTAATGGAAAGTACAAAATGCAAGACAGGAAAGTGATATTAACCAAATTTCTAGTAAAATGGGATCTGAACTTACAACCATAAAAACTTATTTGTTGGGTCATATGCTTAGTATTCACTCATTGAGCCAATAAATATTTACTGAGAGCTGCAGTGGGACTGCAATGGCTTACAAGACAAACCAGAACCCTGCCCTCTACAACTTACAATCTGGTGGGGAAAAAAGAAACCATACACAGCAAAGTAAATTAAATTATACTATCAATAGAAAGTTGGCCACTTTCATCACATGCTTGGTTAAAAAGCCTTGTAGCTCACTTAATAAGGAAAAATCAAGGCCTACTAGCTTCGCAATGACAAACTCTAACAGTAAACATATCTCTGTAAAATATGAAATGAGTTAAGTTGTATACATTAGTAGATGTGTCCATGCTACACGAATGCATGTTCACATATTCTATTGATACATGGTTTCATGCAAACACTCCACACAAACAAATGCTCATGAAAGATAAACTAATTCTCAAACAAGTCTTCTAAAGTCCTCTCTGAAATACAGTAGAAATTAAAGTTACTGCTTCTCAACTCTCCCCTGCATAGCTCTTCTGACTAGGAAGGGATGAAATTGTCTATTTCAGGTTCGTATGCAGGCTGTCTACATTACTGCTTTAATTTCTTGTAAGTACTGAAGTTACAGTAACTGTCACAGCTGTTAGCTGAGCTTGTGTTTGGTCCAAATTGGCCTAAGGCATAATACATATAGATATAGATATATACACACTCACACACCTAGGCACACATATATGCACGTCTTCTGACCCTAAAGGAAATTTAGGTTTTACACCAAATTGATATTTAAGCAACAGAAATCTATTTCTCAAAATCAAAACATCTGCAGAAAGATTGTAAACATGTAAATAGATGTTTACTCCATATATAAGTAATGGAATTGTCTCAATCTTAAATTCTTATTTACCATGAATAATTTGGTGCCATTATTTAGTAAAGCAGTTTGAAACAATTATCTTTCCTTAGAAAAAGACCAAACTCAATTTAAAGAGTTTATCTTCACAGAAATCAATATATTTTAGAAAAATGATGTTAGAACTTCCTACAAAGGGTTAATCCCCAAAATATATAAAAAACTCATAGAGCTCAACAACAATCCAAAATAGGAAAATACCTAAGTAGACATTTATCCAAAGTAGATATTCAGTGGCCTATAGGCAAGTGAAAAAAAATATGCTCATTTTTCATAAGTTACAAGGGCAATTCAAATCGAGACACAATGAGGTACCATTTCACCCCCTTGAGAACAGCCCATATCAAAAAGACTGGAGACAACAAATGTTGGTGAGGATGTGGAGAAAAGGGAACTCTTGTCCACTGCTGGACAAGGTTGGGAATGGTGGTAATGCCATTTGGTGTACTCTAAGAAATAGTATGGACATTCTTCAAAAAAAAAATAAAACTGAAAGCAATACCACTTCTAGGTATTTACCCAGAGAATATGAAAACATTAATTAAAAAAGATTTCACACAAAAGTAACTAAAATTAGGTAGCACACTGTAACATTTTGGGTTGAGGAAGCAGCTGTCAGTGTGTAAACAAGTCAGAAATTATCCATCTACAAAGGCTCTTGGAATGGGTATTTCTCCAAAGAGTTCTCAAGAATGTGTTTAACCAGAATGAGTCAAATTCAACCTTAATTAAGGATATACTATGTGCATTCATTATACTAGCAATGTGAGAAAAGTACTGCATTCACTATGTATTGGAAGAGATAAATGCCCAAGTAATTGATAAGAGGTGATAAACAAGGTAAAGATGTAACACAGTACTAGGAGAAATCTATTATGAAAAGTTAATTTTGAAAAAGGGAGATGACATTCAGGGGAGAGGAAAAGTCAATTGATATAAGGCAGGGGGCTGACATTCAACATTTGAAACATTGGGAGGAAAGTAAAAATTTTATACTGGCTCTTCCTTGCCAATTTCTGAGGCACTTATTTCAGCAGGATCATTGTTAGAGTTTTTTTTTTAAATTCTAGTCATCATTTTCACACTATAAAATTTTTTAAAATGTCAAACAGATTTAAAAAATATCCAAATTTTATTAATATTAGCATTGTAAGGTAAGAAATAATAGAAATTTCATTATGAAGATTTTTTATTACATTACAATATATTACAGTTTATGTCCTAATTATGAGACTTTATTCTGCAGGGCAATGTAATATAAAAACCTACTTGGCCATGTTACTTCTTGAGTTTCTTTTGAGCGGCTTTCTTCTTGACCATCTGGAGTCTCTTCATGGCGTTGAGCTGGGACTCCTGTGAGGTTGGGCCCTTCAGGGAGGCTGAGGGAGTGCTGCTGGGCTCTGAGGCGGCTTTGCTGGTGGTGCTTCCTCCAGTCCCTGAGCTCATGCTGCCGCCATTCCCACTCAGCTGGCTGCTGCTCCCAGGAGCTAAACTGCTTGGACTAGGGAGACCTACTTTGCTAACATTGTCACAACTAACTGAGCGACTAAGGCCAGTTTTGCCCAAAGTTAGAGGTGGGGGTGGTTTCAGGGGCATAGTGGGTGAAGTGCTGCTACTAGAGCCTATTTTGGAGCCTATTCCACCTTTGGATGCACTTGGCAGACCGGTCAAGCCTCCTGGCTTTTGGCTAGCCGAGGAGGTAGCAGGCTTCCCACTGTTGTTTTGGGTTGTTGAACTCAGCTTAGCTGTTGATGGACCAGCAGAGGAAGTTTTAGCTGCAAAAGCTGCCCATCCCGTTAGGCCACTGGTGACTGAAGAGGAAACACTAGTACTGGAAGAGTTTCCTGAAATAACTGTGGATGGCTAAGGGAAAAAAAAAAAAAAGAAACATTAGAGCCAAATACAATAACACTATTGTAATCTTGAACAATTATACTAGTTTAATTGTTGGACTTGTTATATAAAAGTAATCAGTTGGAAAATTTAATTCATACCACTATAATCAAGTTCTTAAGCTGAGCTGTAAAAACACATTGAACAAAACTTATCCAGGTCTAACGAGCACCACCATTTCCAAATCAGAAATTGTGAAATCTAATATTCTTGTTCTAGTGATAGAGAAAATAAAGAATAGAAATATTTAGTATTCCTCTTTGAGTATAGGTTTTAGGTTCCATTGTAAGCCATCTCACAAAATCAGGTTTAATGCCTCAACTTGTCTTTTCATGCAGAAAGGTGTATTTGATAAAACATCCAGTTCTTTTGACTTGGCTCTAAGTGACTTGTGGATCCTTTCAAAAGCACCGCCATTCTTAAGGTCAAAAATGCTTGCACCCAAGATAGTGAGAAGATGTCAGAGCGAATGTAAGATTCTGAACCCTTTAAAAAATAGCTGCCCCCATTGTAAGCCGATAGCTACTGTACTGAAAAATATATACAGATGTGCAATGTTAACCACTTGGCACTGTACAGCACTGGTGATATGTTCACAAAACAGGTCTCATGACTTCATTCTCACTCTCTTCCATGCTGCCACTGAAAGGATCTCAGGAGATCCTGCTTCTGTGAAAGGCCCATTTTACTGCCTTAGAAGCTGCATGAAAGTCTGGCTCACTCCCAGATGTTTTTCTTCATGGTGTAACACCTCAATTTCTCCATTTACCCTACTGGGTCTGTCAAAAGCTGCCAGTGTCACCATATGAATAAATACTGCTCTTAGTCTCACAAGAACACACTTTTTTCAACTTCACATTTGGCAAAAATGCGCTCTGTTCAAACGATTTATGAACTGAACTTCTCAGTGGCACTCTTTCTACCTGTGTATTCTCAGTCAGATGTAACACAGTGTTAAATTCACACCAGGTAAAAGAGGAAGTGTTACAAATAGAATCATACTTAAAAATATAGTAGTTATTAGCATACCTAAAATATACCCACATATATTTCAAAACTGAACTTGGAAAGAGTTGATAAAACATGTTTAGTTCTTACTAAGTACCACTTAGTACTATCTGCCATGTAGACATTTTGGACCAACATGGAAAGTAGTTGAAATGCAGTGCCCTAATGTCTTTGTTTTGTAAGAGGAGTCGTCCAGATTCTTGTTTATATACTATGAAAAGTGGTGGCCTTTTTTATAGTTATTTCATACAATTTTCATTAGATGCCCAGGGAGGATAAGTTGTACATGAATCATAAGTTCCTAAAGTAATGTACATGGGTAAAGAGAGAAACAGTCAAGGAAGAAGCAAAAGGACACAGGTGTAGAAAGCTCTCAATTTTCAGCTCTGAAAGATCTAATTTTTCCCTTTCCTTTCTATTAGACATAACACTGTCTGCCATATGGCTAAATGATCTTTCAACAAACGTCACGAAAGAAAACCCATCTGAAGTAATTAAAAAGACCAATACTTAGGAAGTAAAGACAAGAAAGTAAGTTCTGCGGAATGGCGTTTTATACCCCCGAATTCTGCTCCTGGTACAGCTCTCTAACAAAAAGACAGATGGCTTATGATACAATCAGGACACACAGAAGTACAATGACACCAATGGTGGAGACCCAGTAATTTCTTATTACTTCAGGGTAGAGAATACATTTCTCGACTTTTTAGAACTACAAATATTTTCTTGTCCATTATCCTAGACAGGAAACCATTTGCTTTTTGCATATAAAATGGAACAGAATGTTTTCATAGTATAAGTTTATTCACTTTCATTATAAAAATATCTTAATTAGAGCATGACAGCCAAGTCCTTAATGTATTTGCCATGATGACTTCACTTCAGATTTCTTAAAAATAAACACGAGTAGTAGCAAGTTAGCATAAAAGTCTATTTAGAAGTGATTTACGTATATAGAATACAGCAATTCTCTTATTTTTCAAATCTCATAACTTTCAATTAGTTATTCTTACTTTTAGTCCAGTTCACCATGTTTTCATATGACAATAGCGATCCCTTAAATACCAACTCTTCTGGCAAAAACATTTAAAAGTGCTTTCCAAATTAAAAAAAAATATCTTCCTCAGTTAAATTTATTTTTACATTGGGTCATTAGTACACCAAGGCTCTTGATATTTGTTTCTTATAACCAGTTGGACAAGGTAACATCTTCCGAATTTTCTGGGGTCAACCAAGAATTTGGGGTAAACAAACTGTTGCCGCTTATTTAATATTCTCCTTAAAATTGGAATGTGTGGGCCTCCCTGGTGGCACAACGGGTTGAGCACAGCGCTGTGAAGCTGTCCACAGCCTCTGCAGTGCGGATTCAATTCCCGGCTAGCCAGGGAGATTCCACATGGTGCAACAGACCTGTCCTGTCTCTCCCACTGCTCCCCTCAGCAGTGCTTTTGGCCTATCTGCCTGTTGTGCGCCCCACTCTGTCCCTGGTGAATCCTCTTACCCTCCTGTGCCTCTGGCCTGTACCCCAGCTATTGTATAAACAAAAATAAATAAATCTTAAAAAAAAAAAAGTAATGTGTAACCCAGTAAAAGCATTCTGTTAAAAAATTATATTTGAGGGCCTCCCCGGTGGCTCAGCGGTTGAGCGCTGGGTTGCGAGGCTGCCCGCAGCCTCTGCGGCGCCGGTTCGATCCCCAGTTGCTCCCCGGCCACCGGAGGAGGGTCCCACATGGCGCGCAGACCTCTCCTGCCGCCCGCTGCTCCCCTCAGCAGTGTACTTTGGTCCTTCTGCCTGCTCTGCTCCCCGCTCTGGCTCTGGTGAATTCTCTCACCCTCCCGCGCTTCTGACTGTACCCAGTGCATGTATAAACAAAACAAGCAAAACAAACAAACCAGCAAACAAATAAATAAAGCATGCCTCTATTAAAAAAAAAAAAAAAAAATTAAAAAAAAAAAAAAAATTATATTTGAAAAATATTTATTCCACATCAAAATACCAGGATATTAATAATAATGTAGCATGATTTTAAGGATGCAAACTTAAGAATGAGAAAAGTGATGGTCTCACTAGATAATCTGGTCCCTTGGTATACCATGAATTCATGATAAGAAAGGAAAAAAATAAGACAATGCAAGAAAATTGCTTTGGTAGCCAACAAATAGAGAGAAGATAAAGCTCCATAGCCAATCAGCACAAGTAGCGTGAGGAGCAAAACTGTTGCTATTGTGGGTGAGAAGTACTTAAACAAATCCCTGACTGAAGTGAGTGTGACTACACAGAAGTGGTAAAGAATATCATCTCAGAGTGTACACAGACAGGGCCTAATTGTGATAAAAGGAAAACAAGCACAGTTAGAGATTAAGTAATTAGGTAAGTGACCCTTTCTACCTAATGTTAATAGTAATGCAGTCTCAACTTCCAACACAGCCATTTAAGTATATAAAGTTTCTCATTACATTTTATTTTAATCAAGTAATATTGTTTAGTCAACCGTATTAAAATTCAATGTTAGATAATAAATGGAATGTACTAAATACCTTGACTTCTGTTCTCTTAAATGCTTGGAAAGTTGTCTCTTGTTTGAGTTTAGTTTCTGGTTTTTTAACCAATGGATCTTTGACAGCTGGAGCTACAGAAACGACTGCAGGGGCTGGTTTCTGTGGCGGTTTCTGAGTTTTTTGGGCCTGTGAAAATCAGCGAATTAAATCAGATACAAAATCTTAGCACAAATGCACAAAAGAGATAATAAAAGGCTCCTCAGTGAACTGAAATACAGTTGAACATTTGGCAAATAATTATAAGGAAATTGAAAATATTTTTTAATGTGGATAAATTATTTTTATCCTCCTCATATTAATGCCTTTATAGATTTTTTATTAGTTTCTAAAAACAGTAAAGGTAATATTAAGCTTTAGAAATCATGCAGAATATGGTTGGCTAGATACCCTATTTCTAAGACAAACCAAATTGTTTAATTTTTAAAAAAGGAAAACCATAAACTGTGTGCCTGCTTAGCTTAAGCTTAAGTAAGAGCATTTATTTTTTATGTGGTTGATCCAAGAATTAGGAGTTTTCTTCTTGGGGCTCAGGTGTAGGGGAGTTAAAAAGCACTGACTGCATCCAGAACTTGAAGTTTGGTGGCTGAAGTTCACTCAGGAATAGGCATTTTCTCATTTCTTTATCAGGCACACCAAAGGCTGGGCTTTGTATCTCCCATGCCCACAGTGCTCTGCAGTACTTTTAACAGTGATGTAACAGTAAGGAATATTCAATCTGTGGGTCTCCAGTGCTGTTTACGTACATTAGAATAAGCTACAAACTGAAGAAAGAAAACAGTGTATGACACAGGCTGGTCTTTAAGCCTAGACACTTAAATCATGTATATACATGATACACTTGAACATTTAAAATGAGCAGTTTCAATAATTTATAATTTCTAGTTATCTTAAATGTTTAAATTTTTATTTTGAAAAGCACTCATCAATAAAAAAGGTGACAGAGACTTTAAAATAGAGAAAAATAAGTTTCCCACCATCCTCTTCATCTGTCTGGTGCAGCGGGCACAATACCACACAAGGCGTGGGTCATTCACTTCCTTGTCCGTCACCTGGGGCTTGTGGCAGTCCTGGTGGTAGAGGTTATGGCACTCCTGGCACTCCACCAACTGGTTACCAGATGCCACCGTCATCTGTCTAAGAAAAAATGCCACAAAACATTGCACTTTCTTCAATGCCACCGTGTAAGACCAATTCAGGGTGGTTCTGGCAAAGCATGATACATTAAAGAAGGTAAAAGCCCCAGAAAACCTAACAGCAACATACAATCCACAACCGATAACCTGCACTAACACTTCACTTCTTTCAAAGCTCACACGCAACCATTCATAAATACATAAAGTGCCTTACTAATAAAGTTGGCTATATTCTCCTTGTCAGTTCTCATTGTAATTTTTTCTTTCTTTCTCCTGGAGATAGACTTTGGATAGTCCAACAGTCTGTAACATTTTCCTTATACCTCTATTAATTTCTTATATTCGTTATCTAGATGCTATTCCATCATCTTCATGAATTAATCTAAGAATTGCCTATTATCTGGGAACTGACCCTCATTATCTACAGAGCCCAGCACAGTCAAATTATCTATAAAGCTGTGCAGATATGGGTGCTCAGTGACTGTCTGATCAGGGAACAATGTAGCAATATGTGTATCAAGAAAGAATAAATTCCAGTAGTTCAAAAAGCAATCACCAAAGCCGCAGAACAGCACAAATAACAATTATCAGAGCCTTAGCCAATCTCTCCTGATAGTTACAGTTACTAGTTCTCTGACCCTTATTACCTTACCATTTATCTCATTTAAAAAATGATAACCTTCACAGTAGATTAAGATGGAAATAACCTTATTTCTTGAAGACAAGGAAGCTTTAATAAATGATCCAGGGCCTCCCTGGTGGCACAGGCGGTAGAGCACCGCACTGTGAAGCCGCCTCATTAGCGCGGGTTTGATCCTGGCCGGCCACAGAGATACCCACATGGCGCGCCAGACCTCTCCTGTCTCGCCCACTGCTCCCCTCAGCAGTGTATTTCAGTAGATCTGTCTGTTCTACTCCCCACTCTGTCTCTGGTGATTCCTCTCATCCTCCTGCACATTTGGCCTATACTCTGGATGTTGTATGCATGAATAAATAAATCTTTTTTTAAAAAATGAATGATCCAACTCATAAGTACATTAACTCTATATAGGGTTCACAAAAGGTTATAGTTATTTACTCAGTCCCAATGCATCAGAATTTAACATTTTTATGAAGCAAATAATAACAAAAGATGGCAATCTTTTCTGCTGTGCTTGGTAGTGAAAGCCATTAACAATTAAAAAATGTAGCCCCTGGTCTCAAGGAGTTTAAAACTGAGTAATTATGATTTTTAAAATGAATCTTCTGTGCAAATTTTATCCATATTTTATAAAGTATCCATTTATCAAAACAACACACAGATGTGATCCATTCAACTCATTTCCATTATTCTTAGAAAAAGATGTAAAAAGATGTGATGATGTCTTAGGAAATGACATAAAATGGTTTACTTTATAAATGCAACCAACAATTCAGGGGGGAAAAAGCAACAGACTTCTTAAAGAAAAAATGGACTTAGTTGGCTGAATGGTCCCTTCCTCACTAAAGAATAAAGAAGTAATTGTTTTCCTTCTGGCAACCAAGAATACAGGACATGTTACAACAAATTAACAGATATGGGATGCCACAGTCAAGAAGATGAAATATTTGACAATGTTCAAGACATTAAATTGGTATGTGGGCATTTCATAGGAATAATCTACTAATATCCTACCTACCTCCAAATTAAATAAATGCAACAGTTGATCAGAAAGCTTTCTTTTTCTTTTGGTTGTTTGTTCTTTACAAAGGAACAAAATAATTTGTGGTAAGGTACAACTTACCTACAAACAACACAGGCCAATCCCATCTCCATGGCAAAATCATCAGCACTGGTCTCCTCAAAACTGGAAAGGTCAGCCATTGCTAAATCCTTGCTGGTTTGGACGGTAATGGGAGAGGACCGTGTCTCTGGTTTCTCTAATCTTGGTTTCTTTGGGATATCAGCTGCTTCAGTGATTTCAGATTTCATCTATAAAAAGCACACAGTCAGAAAATGATGATGAAAGTAACATATCAGAATAAATGTTAACTCCTGAGAGATGGGTGAGCTGGACAGAGCAATAACCCAGTCCGCTTGACCACAGTGTCACACAGTGAGGGCAAAATACACCAGTGAAGATGTGTAAATGATTTAGAATAAATTCATAGGCAGCATGTTAGAAGAAACCAACAAGTAGAAATAAATAAATCAGAACAGTTTAGCATGTACCTATTTCTCTGTACTCTTAAACATTAAAGAATTCTAAAAGGTCAATGGGTTGACTTCTACGGCCCTATTTTTCCTATCAGAGCTCTGAATTGAGAAGGTGCTACACTAATAAGGCTATTTTTGCAAATTTAAATGTTTTGAAGTATGAACTACTGATATTTAAAGTATATAAAAAAGAAGTAATGGACGAAATACTAACTTAACACTCATCCAAACTTAACACACTGCCACATATGCTTTGAAACAAATTCTAGCTCTTTTCTTAAGATATACCATCAGACTGGCAAAAACTAAGAAGCCTGATGAGACACAGAGAACTTGAACTCCTGTAATATACTGATGAGACACTTTCCGTAACCTCTGTACAGTAATGGTGAAGATGTACCTGTCCTTTTACACCCACGGACAGGTGTGCATCCTGTAGAAAGCATGATCATGTACACAAAGAGGCAAAAAGCAGCTCACAGACGCTGCACAAAAATAGAGAAAAAGGAAAAACAACCCTCCTTATCCACAGTGGATGGATAATCTGGTTTATTCGCAGAATGAACATTTCATGGTAGCTGAAAGAAATATTCAGATCTACCTGTTTGAACACATTTCAAAAGCACATTTTTGAGTGGAAATCAAACAAGTTACAAAAGGATATACATGTATAGATGGTTCCATTTATCTTAATTTAAAAGCACAGAAAATGATGAAAAATAGGACTGATGAAACATCTAATATTTAGGTAAAGTATAAAAACATACAGGAATAACATATTCCACCTGGAGGGCAGGGGTTGCTAAAAGATTTTTTAAAATGTATTTTTTTTAGGGCCTCCCCTGGTGGCACAGCGGTTGAGCGCTGGGCTGCAAAGCTGCCTGCAGCCTCTGCAGCGCCGGTTCGATCCCCGGCCGCCAGCGAGGGTCCCACATGGCGTGCAGACCTCTCCTGCCACCCGCTGCTCCCCTCAGCAGTGTATTTGGTCAGTCTGCCTGTTCTGTTCCATGCTCTGGCTCTGGTGAATTCTCTCACCCTCCCACACTTCTGACTGTACCCAGTGCTTGTATGTATAAACAAACAAACAAACAAACAAATAAATAAATAAATCTTTTTTTAAAAAATGTATTTTTTTTTAGTAAGTGCTAAAATCATCATAACTGTGCTGAAACCATTCAGAGCAGACACGCCAAGAACTGTGGCCCCACATGCCATTATGTAACAAATGTTCAGATATTTACATCTGCATTCTCTCTTTTCTTTGCAATACCCATTCTGTCTAGAATATCTGAGTTATGAATTAAAAGTTATACTTGAAATTAGTATGTTCCCTAGAGTTCAAATATCCATTGACAATGACCTCAGTAAACCATCTAAAGTCTAAATTTAACTCATTTTTCAAAAGTCATCATCTATAACTACCAAAACATATTTTCAAAGTGATTCTGTGCTGCTACACGCTATTACACAGAAGTAGGCATAAAATATTATTTCTGCTTATGAACTTTGCCATTTTTTTCCACTAGAATAAATAAAATCTTACTTTCTCAGCAGGTCTCTTTTCAGCTTCCTTCTTCACCTTTTCAGCTGTGAGGACCTTGCCATTATTACTGCCAGAAGGCAGAGAGGACAAGGTTTTGGGCTCTTGCTTAATGGAAACAGTTTTTGTGCTGGAAATTTTGGGTGGCTCCACATCCTAAAAGGTGAAGTAAGAAGATACAGGTGATTAAATATTCAAACTACCTAACACATCACACACACACACACACACACACAAAATAGAACATAAATCTAAACAATTTTCAATTAAATTAAGACATCATGTTGTGACCAATTTAATGTCCTTTTCTTTATGTAGCTTTATTGAGAAATACTGACAAAAATAACTGAACCTATTTGAAGTGTACAATTGTTCTACCCATATTCAATTTACTTCACTGCAAAAAGCCCTGTCCTGAATTTTTTAATCCTTAAAACATCAAAGAGTAATTTTTAATTATGGCTTCATATAGCACTTTAAAAAAAAAAAATCTGGTCATAAAGAATCAGAAATTGAAATGCCTCCTCAACAAGCAGACTTCTGACACACAAAAATGTAGAAGATCACCCAAACCCAGCTAACATACTTTTCTGAAAGCTTTTAGGAAAAAAATGAAATGATCCCGCATACCACCAAGAAAGGTAATTTTGGCAGAGTAACTGTTTTGTGACAGTCTGCATGTTTGCACTGTACTACTGGGGATCTCACAAAACTCCTTCCATGGCTCCCAGACACTTAGATACCTTTTGAGATGGACGATAACTTGAATCAATCCCCCGAGCCAAAGATTCATCAAGTAGTGCCTTTAGTTTTTCAGCAGAATCTTTACTCTTTGAATGTAAGAAGCTTAGTGCTTTCAAAAAAATGGGGTCAAGTTCCAAGTTCACAGTGGCGGCCATTGCCAACACCTGATAAAGGAATAAAATTTTAAAAGGGGGTCAAGTTATTTAGAGATAGGAACAATTATCTATGTCAAAGTATACCTATATTGTTCTTTTGTTTATACTAATCAATGCTGTACACATGACACAAAATTCAAAATGCCCAAAGGCAATTACAGATTAAATTTCTTCTTATCCCTGACTGGCATTCCCTAGTTCATTCCCCCTGAAGACAGCACATCATCAGTTCTCTGTGTACAAGTATCCCAGTTTCAAATCCAGATAAGTTCCTAATTGCCAGAGCCCCTTCCTAATTCCATTTTAAAATATACTTTGCAAGGCATCACTATCATCAGGGAAATGCAAATCAAAGCCACAAGGAGATACTACCTCTCACCTGTGAGAGTCTATACACAGCAAGTGTTAGCGAGGGTGGGGAGAAAAAGGACCCCTAAGACACGGTTGGGACTATAGACTGGTTCAGCCCCTGTGGAAAACAGTGTGCAGGTTTCTCAAAATATTAAGAATAGATCTACCATATGACCCAGCAATTCCACTCCTTGGTATTAACCCAAAGAATACAAAAACAATTCAAAGGGATCTTTGGTCTCCTAGGTTCACTGCAGCACTATTTATAATAGTCAAGTTATGGAAACAACCTAAGTACCCAAAAGCAGAAGAGGAGATTAAGATGTGGTCTATATACACAATGGAATACCACACAGCCAGAAAGAGATGAATATCTTGCCATTTGTGATAACATGGATGGGAATGTAGGGGATTATGCTAAGCAAAATAAGCCAGAAAGAAAAAGAGAAATACCTTGATGGTTTCACTCAAATGTGGAATACAAATGAGCAAAACAAAGGGTCAGACAGAACCAAACCAAAAACAAACCCTAGAAATGTGCCTGTACAATTGAGACTACCATGGGGGAAAGGTGGAGAGCAAAGCAAGGAGGAGGGTCAATGGTCTCTGGTGGAAGAGGATGGAACAGGTGTGAACCTGCACCTCTAAGTCACACACAGTACTATAATCCAATGGTACCTCAGTAATAATAAATATATACACACACACACACATACACATAGTAGACACCTCATTTGCCTTGTTTAGGTGAGATTTAATACATAACAATTTCTTCTCTTAAGCCATATTTCCATAACAACAATAGCCAAGATTTAAGCGGGTGGGGGGAGCACTGTCCCAGCAGGGCCTGAGGGTGCAGTAAGCAGCTCAGAGGACACTGCTGCAGTTTTCCCTCAACTGTCTCTATTTGCCTCCTTAGTCCTCAGCCCCAATCCGGAACAAACTAATGATAATCTCGCTGGTCCACACTGACATTATGGCACCTTATGCATTAACCTATTAAGGTCTAGTAACCTATTAACCTAGGAAGGTCTGAGGGATGGCACCATATCCACTTCAAAAATTTATATATACATAAATTATATCTAGTTTATAGATCACCTCCCATGGAGCCAATGCTAATGCTCTGTGCCATAAGGAGCTTAAAAATAATAAAGATATAATCCATCAAAGGTTTATGAAATTCCCCAACATTCAGAAGTTTTGTTCTTAGCTAATATCAATGCTATGCAGCAGTTCCACTTCTAGTTGTCACTTTTTTCAAATATTTCTCCAGGCAAGGAATTATTGAAATAAAAACGTATACTTTGTGTTCAAGCCTTTCATCAGTATTCTAGGACTTGGAATCGGCTTCTGTCCTCCAGGTTAATATTATAACAATGCAACACACTTGCACAGCCTGAGTTAGGGATCTGTCAGCAATTCCACCGTAATCTCTCATTTTCAGGGGTTTATAAAACCATTAAAACTTGCTGTAGGTTGAATCTTAGCATGTGAAAGCTCAGCCTGAAAAAGGATTTTGTTTATTCCTTTCCCATCTACTCTCCTACTTCCTCTCCAAATTTGACAGGAAACATACACACTCACATATACACACCAAACCCCTAGGCTTTTTCAAAAGTTTTCAAGCAGGTACTAAGTATTTATCTGATAGCCTTAAAATCATCAAGTCCTGTGCTCTACTAGAATACCTGCATCACCAGAGGAGGTGGCCAAAGGCCAATGAAAATAGCCTATCCCAAAACAGTTCTTCTGTAAGAATTAAACAAAAGTTGAGAAGCAATTCTGTCACTTAAGATTGTATTGTTACAGGGCCTCCCCGGTGGCGCAGCGGTTGAGAGCTGGGTTGCGAAGCTGTCCACAGCCTCTGCAGTGCCGGTTCCATCCCCGGCTGCTCCCCGGCCACAGGAGGAGGGTCCCACAAGACACGCAGACCTTTCCTGCCGCCCACTGCTCCCCTCAGCAGTGTACTTCGGTCCTTCTGCCTGCTCTGCTCCCCGCTCTGGCTCTGGTGAATCCTCTCACCCTCCCACGCTTCTGACTGTACCCAGTGCTTGTATAAATAAATAATAAATAGATAAATCTTATAAAAAAGTTAAAAAAAAAAATTGTATTGTTACAGACATTGGCAATATGTAACGATGCATAAAGTCCATAAAGGATGTTCTTAATTCACTCATGAGACCATACCTTTTCTGAGGAGAAAACAGCTGCTCGTTCAAATGGTTATGGGCAAAGCGCACACTCTACCTGACAGGACTAGGGAACGCTACCTAGTCTTTTTATTGATTCACCTTTTCTACCTGAGCATAGATTACTCATCCAGCACAATCTGTTTTATGAGATACTGGCCAAAGGATAGGTATTTAAAAGAACCTTTGTAAAGTAACTGAAGAAAACAAACAACAATCATGTGGAAAATCTATGCTGAAAAACAAAAGGATTTACTGTTACACAATTCCATGACCTCCAGGAAGAGGTTTATCTTGCCACAGATCAGGTGAGGAGAGTCAGCACCTTCATTACAAGACCCCAGAAGTCAGGTCACGACCTTCCAACTGGAACCCTGCACTCAGTTCATTTTATAAGAACCTGTAAGTGGACAACTGAATGTGCTTTGTACCCCTGCCCTAAATTACCAAGTCCCTCCAGCCCAGAGAGCCCCACAGAAGAATGCAGGGAGACAGGAATAGCCTTTTTTAAATAACAAAATATAGAGCAGAGCATGCATATAGCTGATGACCTGTGGAGTGTGCTCCCTTCTTTCAACCATGGAATAAACCATGAGGAAAGTTTGGGGCCCACCACTTCAGCCTATCCAGAAACTTCGTTTGCCTCTCCCTGCCAGCAAACATCACAACAGCTTAAGGTACAGATTACCTTGCCTTGCAAAATCTTCCAGTACTCTCAGACCATTCTGCCCTTTCCCTTCCACAATAACTTCATTGTGAATGGCCTCTCATCTACTAGCCCCTACGCAGGACCAACACATCCCCTCTAGTCTCCAGCTTTTTCTCAAACAGTGCTTTTGTCTCTTTATCTGTCCTATAGCCCCCCAATGACATCACATCTCCTACAACCTTCTCCCAAGCAATGTTCCTTTGACTTGTTTCTATTCAAAGAGCAGAGAAATCTATAGAGACCTTACTTCACATAAAAGGGCCATATATTTTACTGCAGATTAGATTTCTAGAAAACAAAGTCATATGCACACACGCAGACATGTAAGAAATCTAATACTATAAATGCAGGTTCAAGTCTAAACAAAAACAGTTCATTCAATAAATAATTTTGAGAATCTGTTAAGATCCAAGAACTAAGTATGTAACAGTGAATAACTTCAGTCCAGCCCCAATTCTCAGGAGTTTACAGTGTAGTAGGATTAAAATAATTTTGCAAGTCCCTTCATAAAAAAGCAACACAAAAGAAACTCAAATCCATCCCCACCCCACTCCTCAAACTATTCCTCAAACATCAAAAAAGCAAAAGCGACACAAAACAAGACACAACTTTCAGGACTGGGGCCTTGTACAATATTACCCTCTCTTCTCGATCCTTCACCTGGCTGAAAATTATTATCCCCGCTCCACTCCAGAATGAAAACCCCAAGAGGGCAGGGCCTTTAGTCACTGTTCAATACTTAAAGCTTGCACCGTAACAGGTGATCAGAGTACTTACTGAACGAAGCGAGGTTCTGTCTACACGTCGCTTTCTGGGGCTTCTGGGATCTCTCCAACTGAAGCTGGATGCTGGTCTACACACATACTTTCCCTCAGATCCCGTTTTGCACCCTACATTCCATTCTCAAAATCAGTCCCGAACTGATGACTTGCACGTGCATGAGCTGAAGAGAATGAATCCACTCGTGCACAGCACAACACGAGGGCTGCGGTCTCCGAATTGCTCTAGAAAGCTTTCCCCTTCAGGTTTTTGCAAGTTCTTGCAACCCTTTAGAATCAACCACCTTTAAAAGGCGCTGCCCTCGCCATCCTTCCGCGGGGCTCTGGGCACTGGCGCCCAAGGCTACTTGGGAGGGACACCTCCGGCAACGAAAGGGGGTGGGGTCCGAAAGACCCCGATTCCAAACCAAGCGAGCGCCGGAGACGCCGAAAAGCGACAGCAGACCCCCAGGGGGCGTCAACTCTCGGGCCACGGGCTGCCCCGCCGCCGGCCCAGCCCAGGGAGCGGCCCTCGGGGTCGGACCCCGAGAACCTCCGCGGAAGGCGGGGACGGCGCCGGCCCCGCGACGCCCCGGGCGGGCCTCACTGGCCGCGGACGGGCGGCGTCCGGCTCGCGGCCGCCCGCAAGCTGCGCGGCTTCCCCGTCCGGCGGGAGACGCCCCACATCGGCCCTCGCGGCGCCCCGGCGCCCGCCACTACTCACCGCTCCGGCCCGCGGCCGCGCCGTCCGTCCCCGGCGGCCCCTTCAGAACCGGCCCCGGGTCCACCCGCTCCTCGGCGGGAAACAAAGGTTCCCGCTGGGGGTCGAGACCGGAACGCTTTGACCGTGCGACCGCAGGAAGTGACGGGCCCTGTCCTTCCGGTCCGCCGGATTATGAATGTCGGGCGGCGCGGCTGAGGCGCTGGCGCCGTGTCCTCAGCGGCGACTCGCTGCTGGGCGGCGCGCGGGCGAAGACGCCGCCGAGCGGCCTCGGAGTCCCGAGCGGGCGGCGGTCGTGGCTGACGCGCTCACGCGCCCTCCTCGCCTGGCGGCGCCTCAGGTAAAGAGGGCGTCCGGGCCGCCGCCTCAGCCGGCCCCGCGACCCCGGCGACCGCGCCGCGGCTCGGGTCTCGGGGCCGACGACGCGGGGGCGGCGACTCTCTGCGCCCGGGGCCCCTCGGCCGCCCGGGTGGTCTGGTCGGCTGCCCTGTGCGCCCGCTGCAGCTGCGGGCCTCAGCGCGCGCCCTCGCCCGGCTCTCCAGACGCTTGTTCCCCTCAGCCGCGCCTGCCGGGAGACGGCACCTGCCTGCGAGGACGGGCCGGCGGCTCCCCCGAGGGCTTTTGCCTCACCGCGGCCGCTCGCGCCTGTCAGCCCTGGCACAGCGGGTCTGCACTTGTGAGGAAAGTTTTCGCCTCAGTGTGTAGGGAGTGGCTCTGGGCCATCCTGGTGGCGCAGCGGGTCGAGCGCCGCGCTGGGAAGCTGGCCGCAGTGTCTGCAGCGCGGGTTCGATTCCTGGCTGGCCAGGGAGCTACCCACATGGCGCGGCAGACCTCTCCTGACTCACCCGCTGCTCCCCTCAGCAGTGTATTTCAGTCAGTCTGCCCGTTCTGTTCCCCACTCTGCTCTGGTAAATACTCTGCCCCCCCCCCACCTCTGGCCTGCACCCCGGTTCTTGTATGCATAAATAAATAAACGCATAAATAAATAAAAAGGAAATGGCTTTGACTTCAAAATTTTCTTCAGATACACGTGTTTCGCACCCCAGCTCTACCGTATTTGGGGCTTAAGTGCCTTCTCTTCAACCCTCCGCCCCCTTTATTCTTAACGTCATGATTCCTTAATGCCGCGTCGTCATTCCGTGGCATAAATTCTTCAATGCTGAGGAGATGCCAGCGTTTGATAATCCATCTTGTGCTAAATTGTTGATGAAGGTGGATTACTTCTTTTTTTCCCTAAGCTTATGTGTAGAAGCAGTGTTTAACCGAGAAAAACGCAAAAGCTATCAAGAATTAGTGATGTGAGGGTACCAAACATATAAACGAGGCCATTTTTAAATATTAGTGTGAAAAGAAGTTGCTAAAAATACAGTGGGGGGAATTGCTGTCATATTTAACAAGACAAATGTTAATCTTTGTTAATTTGGTTTTGCCTGACTGCCTGGTGGGGAGTGTACACTCCTGAGAGGCTTGCCTTAAGCATACTCATTATTTGAAATTGTGTTTCAAGTTACACTTGACATCATTTTAAGAGCTCTAACTTCAAAAAATAAGTCTGGAAAGCCAGTTAAGGTTTGAATTGTTTTATCAGTTGATGTGTTTATTTGCTTATTTGTTTCCCTGCTTTCAGCAAAGCTCAAACTTGAACTTAGTAGTGGGCCAATAAATGTTTTAAAACCTGTTTACTTTGTAGCTTCTGTATCAACTGTGATTTAAAATAAGAACAAATACTGAGCGTCCAAATGACCTTTCTAACAGCATCTTCCCTTCTGAGCCTAGTCAGCTAAAACCTACAGAGGTTTTAGTTGATAAAAATACATTGTTTTATCTTCAATTATTCAAAGTAGCCTGCTGAATGTTGCTAAGATTTAGGAAACATTTGGACCATAACTGAGCAGGTATTGTTTGCTGTGGAGATTGTGCTGGCGTTGTTAACATTTGGTGCTGTGGGTCCTTGTTAATTATGAGGTCAGGCCAGTTGCCAGCAATATGATTCTATGGCAACAGATGATTCCCTGGTTCTCCAGAGAGGACATGACACACTTCTCTTAGGCTTAGGTTACAGTAAGCTTTTTTACTTCTAAACGTTTTCCTGGCTTCTTATTCGCATGAGGAAACAAATACCTCACTTCAATTATTGGGTTTTGCCCTCTGAAAATGTATCCTCTACAGTAGTAAACACTGAAGCAACTCAGTTCTTTTCTCTCCTTTTCTAGCCTTTGATGTTTAAGGTTATCTAGCTGCTCTCTAACTGTTGGGGCAAACTTAAAAAATGTAAATTGTAAGAAAATAGGATGAGATTTGCAACTAAATAGTGTTATTTTGTGAAATGTATAAAACAAAATTCTAATATTCATGTTAAACACTTGCTATGTAGGGTATTTAAGTGGGTTTACATTTTTTAATTAATTTTTTTCATGTTTGTAAACTGATCAAAATATTATTGTACCATTTAAGCAATTAATATCTATGTGAAGTTACACTATCATTTTTATTCACTACCATTTTATGATTCCCTGGCTGTCAGCCTCAGTAATAGATTTTTCAAATACTAGTAGAGGGGGACTCCTTTTCAGTTCAACCAGAATTCCTTACATTTCCTCAGAAGTTTGGAAATAAAAAGCATAATTTGGGCCTTATCCATCAAATTTTGTGTATTTTAATAACATCAATAGATGTTGTTAGAAATGAATACTAATAGTATTTAGGGGCTTGCTGAAGTATTAGTCATTGTTTGGCTCTCACTACACAATAAATAACCAGTACTGTTGTTATTGCTCCCATTTTATAAATTTAGAAACAATGCAGGAAAAAAAAAACCTTATATTGCTAGTTATCGAAACCAGTGTATGAACTGTTAGTTGACTAAAAACCAGTATATAGTTCTTATCTGTTACTTTTATTTACATCTTAGTTTATAAATCTTCTACTTGCTAAGTATTTAGAACCTAGTTTCCTAGTTCTCTTGCCTAAATATTAATACATAAAAAACTTCTGTCTCTTCTTTATTTACAAGTGAGAATGGATTCCAGTTATTTTGTCTGTTCAGTTCACTGGAATGATCTTGTTTCTTCATTTTGATTTATGAAGAGAGAAAATGGTGTCAGGAAGAATAAGGCTCATGCTGTACCAAGACTAAAGTTCTCACTACAGTTCTCACTTACTGGCATTCATTTTTGTTCATTCATTCATTCCTTGAACTGAAAATGCAAGTACTATTGAGCATTGAAGATAAAAATGTCATTAGTCAGTGCTAGAAAGTAAAGGAAGGCAGGATGAGGGACTAGGGAGGACTTTTGAATTCAAATAGTCTGCGGAGGCTCTTCAGTTAATATTCAGAGACCCCACTGAGATGAATGAGAAGCCATGTGAGTATCTTGGAGAAGAGCAAGCTAGGTGGAAGGAGCAGCATGCACAAGATCTCTCCAGTGGTGTTCTTGGCATCTCTGAGAATAGCAGAAGTGGCAGGAGAAGATTGAGAGGGAAGAGGGCTAGCTCAGGTTAGAAAAGGACGGGTCTCATCAGGGCCTGAAGCCGCAGGGGACATTCAGATTTTATTCAGAGTGTGTGTGGGAGCCATTGGGTGATTGGGAGCAGATGATATGCTCTGAATTACTTTTTTTTTAAAGATTTATTTATTTATACAAGCACTGGGTACAGTCAGAAGCGTGGGAGGGTGAGAGAATTCACCAGAGTCGTAGTGGAGAGAAGAGCAGGCAGACGGATGAAGTACACTGCTGAGGGGAGCAGCGGGCGGCAGGAGAGGTCTGCATGCCATGTGGGACCCTTGCCCGGTGGCCGGTGATCGAACCGGCGCTGCAGAGGCTGCGGGCAGCTTCGCAACCCAGCGCTCAACCACTGCACCACCGGGGAGGCCCCTGATTTACTTTTTTAAAGGACCACTGTCACTATAGTTGGAAAGTGGGCTTGTGTGTAGAGTGGAGGAGAATAATAGATGTTTGCAGTAGAGTTTGTAAAAGATGGTGATGACTTAGACTTAGTGATAGAGGTGGGGGTGCTACTAGTTGGATTTAGCACGTATTTCAAGGGTAGAAATAGTAGGATATGTGAGAGAGAAACAGGTGAGTGAGATATCAGGATTCTTGGCCTGGGGTATCTGGTGTTGCTGTTTTACCAAGAAGACTACTAAGGAAGTTGGAACAAGTTCAGAAAAATGTCCAAGTGGAGATGTCCAGTGTGAAGTTCTGGGGAAAGGTATGACTGGGATCATAGAGGAGTGTGGTATTTAAAGCTGTGTCACAGGGACTCCTTGAACAGTGCTGCTTCATGGTGAGTTGTCACCCATGACAGGCTGTGAGATACATTTAGTGAGTGCTGGTCAGTATTTAAAAAAAAAAGAACAAAGAAGCAACCCAGAGTAAAAACTATCAAATATATACCAATCAGTAGTATATTTTTCATGATTTTGTTTCAGCTTTACTCCATGTATACTGAGTTGCATCATTAAATTTATTTCCTTGTGGCATGATTAAAAGTGTGAAAGCCAGTAATTAAAGGAGTGTAGATTGAGAAAAGGGTAAAGCACCACAGGTCACTGAGAGGTTGAAGAAGGACTCAGTGAAAAGAACTGGAGGGGGAACTGTCAAAAAAATGTATCCAGTGCTGAGAATTGCCAAATAACCTGTCTTTAGCACCAGGGTTTTTATCAAGAATTGCTGAGGTCAGCACAGTGGCTTAGAATAATGTAATTCTGATGAGTTCACTTCGGTGAAGTTGTTACTGCAATAAAATTCAATATACTCCAATTTATGAAATTTGAAGCTTATAACAGCTATTTGCTTTAAGAAAAATAACTTCTTAAATGTTTTTAAATAAGATATCTTTATAGATTGGATTAATGTTTTTGGATTGATATATAATTCTTAGCCATGTGATATAAATAAACTGTACCATTAATTAAGTTTAATTAAGTTTCTGTCATTAATTAAGTTTAATTAAGTTAAGTTTCTGTCAAATTCTAGGCATAGTGATAATTTCTTATTTGGAAAAAAATGAAGTGATTGGTCAATATTTTGTTGAAGTTATATACATTTTTTGGTCTTTATTATAATATATAGCTAGCTATTTATCTGTATTTAGTTACCAGCGATCCAACTTTGAATTTTGGCTACAAAACTTTCTATTTTTTCCAGCTTCTGGAGAAGTATAATTATTTTCATTATGTTTACTGTGTTTTTTCTTCTTTTCCCTCTATATGTATAGATATAGAAACAGATACATAGGTGCATGAAGTAGTAAAGTGGTTTTAGATAGCAAAAAAAACCTGTAAAATTCATATCCCCTTTTATGTGTAAAATGCTTCAATTTATCAATACCCAATTATATTAATTAGGATGAGAAAATAGAAAAGTCTATAAATGACTAAAATATTAAACCTGTGACTTCAGCCACTTAAATTTTAAAATATCTTTGAAGATTCCCAAACAATGAGACCAGAGCTTGATTTTCATTTACTTGTTGATTCCCTCTGCTATGTTTTCAACCAAACTGGCACATCTAAGAAAGTGCTGCACACTCCTTTAATTTTCGTCAACTCTCCAAGTTTTGTGATTTACCTGCTGCTCTCACTGCCTCCGTGGCGTAGGGGCAGTGTGGCGCCTGTCAAAGCTTAGAAAGAGCAAATGACACTTCTGTGCTCAGAGGAATGAAATATGGAGTGACAAAGAGCTTTGCCCTAGTAGCCATGGAGACCCAGAAAATGATTCTGCAGTACCTACCTTTCTAAGGCTCATCACACAAAATCAATGAATCCTCTAGATAGAAATAAAAAGAAGAGGGATTTTTTCACTTCCTATGGTATTTGCAAACTTTAAACAAAGCTGGAATCCTATATTTCTGAATCATATGCAGTATTGTAAATCAATGTTGTCTTAATTTTAAAATTTATTAAAAAAAGAATTAAAAGCTCAGTACAAAAATAGATACTCAATTTGTACAGATTTGCTAATATTACTGACTTTAGAAATTACATTATTATTTAATGGGGGAAGGGGATTGCCCAGCAAGAAATTTTTTTTTTAACTCCAAAATCATTAAGAAACATTTTTAATCTCCCAGGAAAAACACCAACATGTATATTTCAAGAAAATATGTTAAGAATCAACAGTATTTTGCATTTTCTCTGAGGCATCTCATTAATTTTTAGATATCTCCATAGGCAGATTATTGCTCTTCTGTTTTATTGGCATTTGGCATTTATTAAGTGCTCCCAGTGAGAAGAGTTCACAGAACATGTAAAAACCTATACTCAATGATATCTTAAGTGCCTTTGAAAGTGGCAAATATACATGTATTCTAATTTTCTGTGTGTATTTCTACATGTCCTAATCAAACCTATTAATAGCATGATACTGAGTTTTTTTTTTTTTAACTGTTTGCAGAACTAATGTCATTATTACTCTTTCCCAGCTGCTGGGTAAATGTGGAAATCAATCATGTTTTCTTTCAAATCTGCTTCTTGAAGCACTTTAGGGGATCTTCTTTATAGTATTCCTCTCTCAGAAGAGGGGCCTAAGAGGATTGGTGAATTAATCAGCAGTAGGTTAGAAGGGTAACCTTGCACAGACTATCAATTTCCTAGAAAATGTCGTTGGTTTTTTTGCCTGTAAGCTTTAATAAATAGCCTTTAATATTTTGTTTTACAATCACCTCTGTGTGCCAAAAACAAAAGTAATTAAGCTCATGGAGAAAACAAACTCCATGGGTTAGAAACTTTTTTCTTTAAATTACATAAAACAACTTTCCTTTAGATAATCTTTTAAAGCAATAAAAAACCATGCTGCAGATCTGTTATGTTTTTGTAAAAACTATAAAACAGTAATTATTTGCATTAACACACATCAGGTTTTCTAAGACAGTATTTTACTGACTATATTTGTTTGTCATTGTATATTATTAGCTCTTCAATTAAAAAAAAAAATGCCACGGACCAAGGAGCTTAAAGATTATGTTACATTGATTAAAAAAAAAAAAAAGTAAGGTGGGTGAGCAGGGCTGGTATAAAGAAAAAGGACAAGGAGAAAGGCTATTTTCCATCCCAAGTTCTTCTGTAAGACTTATTACCATCTACATGTTTTCTTGGAACTCAAAGTAAAATAAAATATTGATTTCCAGCTCTATGAAATAAAGTAGGCTTTGGGAAATTAATACTTAGGTTGAATGATTGTCTGCTTTACCAGGATCATTAGCTGGAAGAATCAGGCTTGGACCCAAAATCTCAATTTCAGTGTAATGCTGCATCTTCAAAAAACAATTTCTTAAGAAGCGAGTAACTTTAAGAGTTAGCTATTACCTATTTCTGTCCAAATTGTATATCTTTATTGTTGGATATATGTTTGATTTTGCTTGAAGAAACCATAATGTGTTAAAATCATTTGTGTAAATAAAAAATGTAAATTAAAAAAGAATCTAAGGAATATAGAACATTAAGAGACATTTAGTACTTTGAAAGTTTTTTAAAATTCAGGGTACACTAATATTTCAGATATAAAGAATTGCATGTGTACTTTAAATTGCAAATGTACTTTTAAAGCCTTTAAAAGACTTAAAAAATATATTTTCTACTAAAACACCATCTTCCTATTATGTTTCCATGGTGAATGCTTTTTAAAGAGTGCCATCTAGTGACAATTGTGGAATTGTGATTTACAGATTAAAACAGGCAATTTCAGACTCAGGAAATGTATAAATCAAATCAAAACTTATGATAGTTGAAAAGTCTTAAGAATTATGACTAGAAAACACCCATCAATAATTTGACTTCAAATTTAGATATATATTTGCATCTTTAATATAACCAAATGTATTCGTCCATACATTTATTAAAGGATGCTGGACCTGATGTAGGCTTAGCAATGAACAAAACACAATTTCTACTCATGGAACATTCTTATTGGGAGAGACAAGATAACTATGTAATATGTTACAGTAGTAGTTAGTGCTATTCATAGAAGGGAATAGAAAGGCTTTTTCAGGTAGTATGGGGTTAAGTTTGCAGTTGAAATATAGATGACGCGTAAGGTTGATATTTGAGTAAATCCTTGAAGGAAGTGAAGAGTGTTCCAGGTACTGAAAACCTGAAGTGCCAGGGCCTTGAGGTAGGAATGTACCTCATGCTTTAGCAGAGTAGCAAGCTCTTTTGGCTGGAGCAATGAACCGTGAAGTTTGATGAGATGGGTATAAGCAGAGGATAAGGTCAGCATGGCAGCCCTGCCTTTTCTCTGAGTAGGATGGGAGGGCTGATTGCTCAGAACAAACTGACAGGGATGGCCGTGCAGTTAGGAGGCACTTGGTATATTTCAGAAGAGGGGGTGGTTCTGTTATAGGGCAACCCCGATATAAAACGGGTTGCCTGGCTGTAGGTCCTCACCTGCGCGCTTAAAAGGGACTTATTAATACTCCACTATAGGCACACACAAAAGGTTAATAAAAGGTTTATTTACAAGGGAAAGGGAATTAAGGAAATGTATAACTCAGGGAGAAAATAGGGAAATAAAGTCTTTAATGCGTCCTACTCGATCCGCCGACCTGGAAACCCAAAGGCACTCTCAGAGCTGGCGGAGAGCCAAAATGGGGGAACCCCTCCAAAGCCCACGTGTCTGGCTTTATACCAAACCTGGCTGCTTAACCCCACCCTCCGGTCCCAGTCACCTTCCCTTTGGTGGTGATGGGATTTGGAGTTCCCAGTGTCTTTTGGCTTTGGTCTGGAGTGGGGATGGAGTCCACAAAGCCTGTATGGAATTAGCTTTAGGACATCCTTTTCCCCCTAACAATTCCACAGATCTCACTGGAAGCCATGAGATGATGTGAATGGTCAGGTTCTGGATTTGCTTTGAAGGCAGAGCCAAAATAAGTTTTAATGGTTTGTTTGTGGGGGTGTGAAGGAAAAGAGTAAGAATGACTCCCCAGATATTGGCCTGTACAGCCAGAAAAATGTTTCATTAACTGAGATGGGGATGGCATGTGAGGAGCCACTTTGTGTGGAAGAGGATGATAAGGAACTTAGTTTTGGACATGTTAACTTTGGGATGCCTCAGCCCTCAACATTAATGTAATGGAGAAATTAAAATATTTTTCTTTTATGATTCAGGATGTAACACCTCGTCATTGTCAAAATACACTTACTTTAGGATAGTCTGTTCCTCATGAGGAAATGAATGAATGTATCCTCCCAGTTATCATTGTAGGGTCATAATGCAGAAGAAATATGGCAGGACCAGCTTTGTTAAAACTTCTCAGAGCTCTCAGCATTCTTGGTTAGGTATTTCCCATTCTTTACTTGTTCTCAACTGTAGTGGTACCCCAAAGTACCTGATTAAGAAAATTCTGTTGCAAATCATTGAGATATGCTTATTTTATGGAGAAATTAATCACTCATTAATTGAACAGAGTGGACATCTTTATTTTAGAAGTCATTTATGCAGTTTAAGAGCAAATCCTTGCTGATTTCTAGAACAGATTTTTAAAGCATTCATCCATTATTTTCGCTTCTAAGTTGCTAATAGAATATCCTAAGGTCTAAGTGTTACGGAGCAGCCCCAATATAAAAACGGGTTGCCTGGCTGTGGGTCCTCACCCGCGCACTTAAAAGGGACTTATTAATACTCCACTACAGACACACACAAAAGGTTAATAAAAGGTTTATTTACAAGGGAAAGGGAAATGAGGAAATGTACAACTCAGGGAGAAAATAGGGAAATAAAGTCTTTAATGCATCTACCAGATCCGCCGACCCGGAAGCCCAAAGGCACTCTGAGAGCTGGCTGAGCTGCGAGCTGGCGGAGAGCCAAAGAGGAAACCCCCAAAGCCCAGGTGTCTGGTTTTATACCAAACCTGGCTGCTTAACCCCACCCTCAGATTCCAGCAACCTTCCCTTTGGTGGTGATGGGATTTGTCTCTCCCAATGTCTTTTGGCTTTGGTCTGGAGTGGGGGGTGGAGTCAACAAAGCCTGTATGGAATTAGCTTTAGGACATCCTTTTCCCCCTAACATAAGGTCCACTTCACTGTATTTCAGGTGGCCCAATGAAAGAAGAAAATGAAAGGCATTAAGAAAAATATGACAGAAGAATACCTATACTTGGATTTTTCTCACATAATTGAAGGATGTGTTTTTCCTCTTCATACATCTGTGACTTTATTTTTGTTATCATACTGTGACTGCAAAATCTTTAAAGTTTGCCTAGTTCTCACCAAGGAAAATACAGATATTTCACTACTTAAAAATGTATTGTCCCAAAATGTAGAAATAAAGATTATTTCAAGGCAAGAGCTCCCACCAATAGTCCAGAACTGCTGTTTACCAGCAGTAGTAGAAAGACCAGACAATTTTTGTAGAGCAGGACTTGCTGTTATACTAAGACACATCATCCAAAAATCATACGAAGCAGACCCCTCAAAGAAGGAAATCTTGGGACTTCTGGGTTTTAAGAAGACTTGCCTGAAAGCCTGTGCTGAAGTAAGTGCAATGTCTCTTTTCTCTTTTTTAAAGTCATAAAGTGATAACACAGTCACCTAACTTTAGCTTTCTGTTGGAAACTAAAATTTCACTTACTTAAAAAACCTCCAGTAAGCAATCAAGTAGTCTTTCATACGTGCCAGTGTATCAATTTAATAGTGAAACATAAGAATTTAAGACTGATTTCCTGAGGTATGGAGACTTCTTTATCTTTTGTGTAAATTACTTTGAAGACTTTTTAAGGGAATGTTTACATGTCAACAGGAGCTCAAATTACAATGCTTTGGAAAACCTGCTTTTTTGAGGGTACTTTTGAGGTTTGGGGAAGTACTGAAGTATTTATTCAGGAAGAGATACAGGAGGGTAGTGTGTGTTGGTATCTAGCAGTGCAACCTAGCCCTCCATTGTTTGATAGCATTTCTGAAACACTGTAGTGCTGATGGCACAGAAAAGCCTAGCTTAGCCATCTCCAACCCTAAACTCTCTAAACCAGCTTTAGTTGCCAATAGGAAGTTATTTTTCTTCACACCAGATTGTGCATGAAACATCCTTACACTTCTTGTTTTTGTTTTGTTTCATAGGTAAGTCAGTGGACCAGATTATGTGAGCTCACCATCCCTTCAGCTATTGAGAATTTTCTCAAAGACTCTTCTGGCCAGCACCCAGCCATTCCTGCAGAAATAATGCTGCTGGAGAATAAGCTTGGTGAGCCCGTCAGAGTCCATAATGATGACAAACTCCGTCGGCAAAAGCTGAAGCAACAGAAGGCTGCAGGAGTTGATCCTTCCCTGCCTAAGGGAAAATCAAAGAGTGAGCCCCAGAAACAGGAAACTTGGGATGAGGTGGACTCGTCATCCCAGAGCCTGGAGTTGCAAATGGCATTCTCCAAGCTCACCGTGCATGAGGGGCCAGCTGCTACACACAGGGAGCCAGCCCACATCAGAAAGGCGAGCACCGCAGCCCTCCCGCCCCTGGAGCACGTGTTTGCAGAAGGCCTCTACTTCACTCTGGCAGATATAGTGCTCCTGCCCTGTATCCATCAGTTCCTGGTAAGGCTTCCTGAAGTCGCTGCGCTATTCTAAGTTCGTCTCTGAAATGGCCTAACTTGGAATCCCAGGTCCATTTCATTCATTATGCTCTGGGCCAACTATTAGTATCTGCCACTATTTTCTTCTCTGTCGAATAATAATGGTTCCTGCCTACCAGGTTCAGTGTGAGGGATAAATGACAATTTGTGTGAAGTGTGGAAGAACAGTGGTACATAGGAAATTCTCAGTGTTACTCATTATGACTTCTAATTTTGAGTTGCTAAAATGTTAGCAGTTGTTACTATTTTTAATTTCAAATTGCTATTGTGATTACCTTCTAATATTAGCGATTCCAGGATTAAAACACTGAAGAATCTGGTCAGCTATATATTTGAAAACAGTCTCTTAAATACTAATGTAATTATGCTAGGTAGTTATCAGAATATTATCAGAAATTTTTTATCCTCATCTGTGATTCTCTGTTCTCATAGATTGCATGGAAAGTTTTCTTTCCTGAAGAGGGGTCGAAACAAAGATACAGATAAATATTAATTGATATCTACATTTATCTCTCTCTATATGAATCTCTTCCTCCCCACCTTCCACATTGTGGAGGAAAAAAGAAGTAAACATGGAAAGCTCTCTGTCTGTGCTGCCTTCCAGTTGGCTTTCAAGAGCTGTACTTTTCTTGCTTAAAAGCATTTCACCCTCTCCCCTACTAAGGAATCAGATATCAGATTTCATTCTTAGATATCACTGACACTTAGGTGTCTCTACTGAGAGATGAGTGACAGTGTCTAATGAAAATCTAAATATTTGGAGATTGGTGCTTCACTAAGTTAGGTGGTATTAATCAGTTGGTATTTTCTTTAAAAATTTCTCTTTTCTTGAAAATGGGAACAAAAGAAGACTAGAAACCAAAATCAGTTCACACCTAAAGGATGTAAAGGAGAGATTCAGGAGTTGTTTAGATTTCAGTATTTTACGTACTGTTGGTCGTCTTCTTGATCTTCTTGGATAATTGTGTTTGTTTCTTCTTGCATAAGAATTGTATCAAAGCGGCACGTCCATTAATTCATTGAAACCCTACTTTGTGTGCCGGGCACTGTGGTGAGTATTATGAATCCAGGGACGGACATGACAGATAAGGTCCCAGCCCTCATGGAGTTAATATATGCTAGGGGAAGATAGACATATGTAAGTAATTAAATAAATAATGTGTATTTAAATAAGGGTGAATGCTCCAAAGAAAACAGGCGACAGAGAAAACAAGGATTTGCTCCAAACTCAGCTAGACATAAAACATTGGATTCACTTAACAGGAGTGTTTGTAGATCATTATCCAGACATCTGTAATATTTGCAGTTTAACTGTAGCTTCATTTAAGTACTAGTCTACTGGCTAGGATTCACTGGAGCTGAAGTATTCCTAATTGTAGGGCTTTCTCCCTCTCTACCCGGTAGGACATCTGCCTGACAACTACTGAGTAAATTTACCTAATGCTACCAAGGAACTTTGTTTTCATCTGAGTTTAAAATAGGGGAAAACTTGTATAGTCAGCCTTTTCTGTTACATGCACTTATATGATTAAATTCTTCTCTTTTGACCTCTGTATATAAACTAATTCTCAAAATATCTTTTTGTTTGTTTGTTTTTTTCCTGGATCTGCACATTTTCTTTTAAGAATTAATATTTCTTTGCCAAAGCCTTGGTGTTATTTCTGTTCTATTTACTTTACCCTCTTTAAAGTCATCTGGATTGTGAAGCAGTTGTTTTAGTTCAAATGGTGCCTAAAAGACTGAGCCATTATGTGGTGGCAGTCCATGTGACCAGAATCAAGTCCATGGTCAGGAACCAAGATCACAACATAGAGCTGGCCCTAGGATTGGAGTGTTTTGGTACACGATTAAGGCCAGGAATATAAAAGAGCGGTCAGCATTGCCAAGTCAATGTTTGAAGTATCAGAAGTCAAAATTAGAGGAGTTAGGGGAAAAGTCCACTTATACCAAACAGAATAAAGTCAGCGATGCAAACAATAGCAGCAAAAGTGGCCAGGTTGTGTCTACACCACCTCTGAGCTACTCCTCTTCTCAGTGGATATCAGTTTGTAGTGTTAACCCCAGATGGCCTGATAAACCCCTCTCCTCTGGAAAGTTTAGGGATAGGTTAAAAAGGAATCCAATTGAATGCACATTGCTTATGAGCTCCCCCCACTTTAGTTCACTTTTTATTCAGACAGTTCAGACCTTCATTACAATTAATTATAAAGCTACTAGAGTTTCATTTTGTGCTCTTGCTAACAATTATTTTTGTACCATTATTTTAAGAATAAATTCTGTTATTTCCTTGTCCCTAAGTAACTTATATTTATAGTGGTTTTAATCTTATCAGCTAGGTTAAAAAAAAATCATTTCTCAGGAGCAAATTTAATTTTCCCCGCACACATTTTTCATTAGCTGCTTCCTTATATATATCTTCTTGAGTGTAATGAATGTGGTTCAGTACCTCCTGAGCTCTTTGGATATTAGTAGAGCAGCCTGGCATGTTGATTAAATGGGTTGACCTATCATGCAGAGTAAAACTCCTCAATTTCTCTTAAACATGATTTATAGTTACCTAATCACACCTTACTTTCCAAAGGAAGGAAAGATGCCATATGCATTTAACAAATAAGAATAAATCACTACCAAGGAGAGTTAAGGAAGGTGGAAAAATAAGAACATTTCTTATTTGATTAATCTATCATGACTTAAGTGCAGTTCCCTTAGCACATAATCTATTTCCAGGCAATTAAGAATTTTTCTAAGGATTAAAAAGTTTTTGCTTCCCAGAGTGCCATTTAGACAATGGTTTTTAAGCCTTTTTTCCACTGACAATAAATAGTGCATTGTATAAGGTGATTGAGTGATTACAAATATCTATATTATATATAACAATTTATATACTTATGAATACTTGTGAAATAACCTATCTTACTATGCAGCCTATTTTTTTTTTTTTAAAAAAAAAAACCTATGTTGATTTCACAGCCTCTAAATGGGTCATAAACAGCAGTTTGAGAAATGCTAATTTGAGGATTTATTCTTTGAATGTAATAAGTGGTTTATTGATTTTTCTTTTCATTTACTCAGTTTTTTTGCATGACAGTATTTTAAGTGCTTGTAGTATACAAAGAGTTCTGTATAAAACCTACCTTATCAATTACTTGTGCTTATTTAATTTCACAGTCCAGTTAAAGCAAAGTAAACTTTATATATATTTGTGAATTTTTCACTGATCTGTCCTTACTGGCTCTTGCTTTGATAATGGTTATTGCTACATATATTGGTAGAGAGTTTCTATGATTTGACCTTATTACTTATCTGCTCATAATCATCAATTATAATCTGGTTGTGTTATTGTAACTGTTTCTATGGATATAACATTCAGTGCCTCACAAAGAGCAAGAACATCTTAATTTTTAAAGAAATTGAAGTTTGGTGATGATGCTAAAGAGAAAGCATATGCCCAAGGGATACTAAAGTACATCAGGAGTAATGGTTTCAAATTTTTCTAATTTGAATAAGTAAAAGCCTTACATTAACTACTGCATCACAATTAAAAAAAAACAAACAACTGATGAAAGCAACTACCTGGATGAATTGCAAAAACATAATGCTAATTGAGAAAGACAGACATATTTATGATTCTATTTACATGAAATTCTAGCAAAGCCAAAAGTATAACAAGGAAACTTGATGAGTGGTTGCTTGCAACTGCCCAGGGAAGCTAAATTGACTGAAAATGGTCACACGGGTATCACTGTGGTGTGACCCACATGTCGAGTTCTCCATTACAGTGGTAGATGCACAGCTGTACAGATGCACTAAAACTCATTCCAAATGTGTGTGTTCTGTGGCATGTAGTTACCTCAATAGAGCTGCTGTAAATAAACAGAAATAAAGAATAATGTGTCTTGTCCTTTTCCTGGCTAGGTAATTATCTGCAAGAATCTTTCTGAAAAATTGATAGAATTTCCACTGCTGGTTGCTTGGTACCGGAGGATTCAGGAAGTTCCAAGAGTGAAAAGAGCAGCTTCTCAGTGTGGCATCCACTTTCTGCACTTGCCGGAATCACAGACCACCTCCAGGGAGCAGCAGCCAAATGCAACTGAGGCCCCGGGCGTGGAGGAGCAAAATGATCCTTCATTTGTAGGCGGACCCAGGCCCACAATGACCAAGCTAATGGTACTTGCATTGCTTTTATTAAAATTTTCTTTGAAAATTTCCATGTGACAATGTTGTTGAGCATTCTACTCCAACTGGTAATCATTTGTTGACATTATTTTTGTTAAGAACTTATTTGTATCTATTATTGTATCTATCTTACATCATTCTTGAGCAGAGAATATTTTTGCTCATCTTTTGCATTGAAGTGAAATATTAAATTGAAAAATTTTTGTTAAGTGTCCTTGGAACCAAATAAGTCAGAAAATATATTTTTTTAATGGTATTTTCCTTAAAATATTTTTTTTGTGTTCATTACAAGAATGTTATATCATGGCCAACCAAGTATGTTGCTTTAACCTGATGATTTCCTGGTTGCAGTAGTTTGCTCTCCTTTTGTAAATTTTGAGATGATGACTTGAAGTCAAATAAATATGAAAATGACTATCTCAGTTCACTTTTCAAAATTTTGTCTAAATTTAAGATTTTTTAATTCTTTGAATTTGTTTTTACTTGATTTGATTTTAATGCCTTTCATATAGTAAAGTTACATATGATCTATTTTTCTCTTTGTAGTATAATTTGTTTCTAATAGTATTATTTGGAAAAGTTTTTAGTAATAAATTTTTTTTTCCTTCTATCCTTTGAAACAATCTACAAAAAGCTTTACTTTTTAATGTAGACTAACTGGACAATTTACTTGAATAGAGGAGACTACAAGTAGTATTTAGGCCTTTTATCGAGTTGTCCTGGAAAAATAGTCATTATAGTTCCCTAGTTGGGTTAGGAAGTATTTGAGTTCTGTCGTTAACAGAAAGGTTGCTGATTTAGAAAAGCACAAGATTTTAGTTAGTGACACCAACTTTCTCATTTCAACTAAGCTTTGGTAGCCCAGTAATGAAATTATTATACAGTTGGTTTTGGAAGGTATCACAGCATGTCCAAAGCTTGATATGTCTTGATCAGGTGGGCCCACTGTGCAGAGATCTCTGGTTCACTTCTTGTGTGTTGTTAAACTAATAAATATCAGGGCCTCCCCTGGTGGCGCAGCGGTTGAGTGCTGGGCTGCGAAGCTGTGTGCAGCCTCTGCCGTGCCAGTTCAGTCCCCGGCTGCTGGCGAGGGTCCCACATGGCGCGACAGACCTCTCCTGTCTGCCTGTTCTGTTCCCTGCTCTGTCTCTGGTGAATTCTCTCACCCTCCGCGCTTCTGACTGTACCCAGTGCTTGTATAAATAAATAAATAAATAAATCTTTTTAAAAAATTAATTAATAAATATCAAAGGAGAATAATTTGCTTTCTATTAAAATTATAATTTCAAAAATTTCAGCATCAAAAATCTGTCATACTCATATGGAATCTTGAAAAAAAAATCATAATTCAATTATTTCTACTTATGCATTTACAGCAATAAAATGGCATTAGGAAAGACATATTTTACGTATTTAAAAAGTTACAGACTAAGAGAGTGGTTACAATTAAGAAGAATAATAAACGATTGTGAAAAATAAGCCCTTTTGTGTAATATTAAAAAAAATACAAAAGTATCCTGAATTTTTAATTTACAGGAGCTGTGTTACTGCAGTTCCCCCAAGAAGCAAACTTGGGAGGGGTTAGATGTACAGGAGGCCTGTGGGGAGAAGCCAGAGAGAACTGTGGTCCCTTTAGCCCATCATGCAGGTTTGGCCTCTGTACATAAGACAGAAAAGAAAGGAAGCAAGATAAGGGTAGAAAAGGTTTACCAGTTCAATACAGCTAAATACAGTTCTGAGAAAGTTCTGGCAAGTCAGTGGGGAGTCCATGAGCTCATATCATTCCTTGAGAATTACATGTTTCTCAGGAATGGGCCTGTGTGGCTCTGCCCCTCTCTGTCACTGGTTTGCGTAGCCCAGCAAGGACTCTCCCAGGGACCGGGGGACTGGGATTCGAGGCCCAGCTTTGTAGTTCAGCTAACATTGTGACCGACCGTCATTTAAGCAGAGGGTTTCACTTCCCCTCTTCGACATTAGCTGATTTTTAATGTTATGGTTATAGAAAAGATGAGTGCGACATTACATCTACAATTTGTATGAAAACCGAGGTTCAACTCTAAAAGTAAGTTAAAATTTTAGTTTTGTTTGAATTCTGACTAGACAGTACATATTAGATACAATAAATTCCTTTTTAATGGCATTATTTTGGCTACTTAATAATTTCTCTAGTGCCATACTTTGAAAGACAGTGAATGTCATATCAAAGTAGTAAATTATGTAAATTTATTAATTTTACTTATAAATTTCATTTCTGTATAGGCACAGTATTTTGTGCCAACTGCAAAGATAGATGAAATTGATGCTAAGTGGACGTAGGAAATGGGAAAAATTACCGTAGGAAGAGTCACATCTCACCGTTTTTTTAGAACAGAACAAAACTTTTTGTTTTGTTTTGAACAGTCTTGCCTCAAAAATTTCTCTTGGGCTGCAGAGTTTTAAAATGTATTCATTTGGTCAGTCATAAAAATGTACCTGTCTTTCCTAAATACTAGGAATTGTTCTTTTTTTTAAATCGAAAAGTGGTGATGGTTTTTTTACAATAAAGCTTTGAGTTTATATATATATATTTTTTTTTAATTGCACTTCTTTTTGTGTTCACATTCTTTTTTTATTTTTTACATCATTGTTCATTTTTTAACAATATTTGTTCCCCCCCGCACCTCAGCTAGAAATTGATCTTAATGTTGGAGGTATATAAAGAACAAATTGGACTGCCCTCAAGTAGCTTAACATTCTGGTAGAGGGTAAATAAAGAAAAAACACAAATAAACGTATAAAATATTAGGTAATGGAAAGTGCTGTGAAAAAAAAAGAATGTAATGTGGGTGGGGCTGGTGGTGATGGAAGTTGCAGTCCTCTCTAGGCATTGTGTTTAGGAAGGTGTATCTTACAAGGTGAAAACATTGAGCAAATTAACTGGAGTGAACTGATTTGGAAGACGTATTCTAGACAAAGGGTCCAGCTAGTAAAAAAGACTTAGCAAAAGTATAGAAGCAAAGTGGATATAAGTAGTTGACCAGGCCTGGCAACTGAAGGGAGAATGGAGGTGTTACTATTGGGTGCACCTTCTTTTGGAGGTGATGAAAATATTTAAAAATGAATCGTGGCAGTGGTTGCATATGCTAAAGACCACTGAATTGTGTGCTCTAAGGAGGTAAATTTTATGGCATATAAATTTTATCTTGTTATATATAACAGTTGTATGTTGTTGTTTTTTTAAACCCCAATATTGGAATGAGTTTGGTGAGGTAAGGAATGGCTTGTAGGAGTAGACTGAAATAGGGCAAAAGGACAGCAGTAGATAGCAGAGAGATGCATTCATCTTCTGAGACACAACCAAGTGCTCTAGATCTCTTAGACTAATGGCTGTATCTCCACCCCCGCTAAAGAATCTTTTCACTAGTACCTTGCGACTAGAATTCACCTAATTTTCATGATGGAAAGTAATGATAGATTCTCAGATACTTTTCTTTTGTATAGAACATTCTGCAGATTAAAAAAAAGTAATAATAATCAAGATATATATATATATATTATATATATATATATATATATATGTATATATATGTATGTATCCTGCGGATCATTACCCCAAAATATGTTTGGAAGGGATCTGAGACTCAGTGTGTGCTATTCCACTGTCTATGGATCAAACTCATAAATACACAACTTATACCATGGCAAAGGAACTTGATAATTTTTGATTAATCGAAAAGTGGTCCTCATTCTTGAAAATGCTGGAAACCATTTGGTTAAACTAGAGGAATTCTCTTCTAGACACATATTGGGCATTTATGGAAGCCTGGGATGGGTGTCAATTGAAGTGGGACTTTCTGGTCCTAAAAGTACAGCTCTCAGACTGTGGCAGTTTTCATATGTGTGAAGTCAGAGTTTGATGCACATATGCAGAATCAGTTTTGTATTATCTCTGTGTGGATTGTTGATAACCTTTTTAATCAAGTGACTTTTCTCTTTGATACCCAGTATTTCTAGGTAGCTTATTACTGCTCTGTAGTTTCAGGCAATGATTTAAGTATAGCATTACATTTTACTATCTCAAGATACCAAGAAAAAAGTAACTGCTGCCAAAACCCTCAACATACTATGTTTTTTATGTCACTGAATATTTTGAGGAGTGTCTGCTGATTTTTAATATTTATGTTCCTCTTTGCTAGTATTTTTTTTAAAGATTTATTTATTCATGCATGCAAGAACCAGGGTATAGGCCAGAGGCATGGGAGGGTGAGAGGACTCACCAGAGACAGAGTGGGGAGCAGAACAGGCAGACTGATTGAAATATACTTCTGAGGGGAGCAGTGGGCGAGACAGAAGAGGTCTGCCTTGCCATGTGGGAATCTCCCTGGCCGGCCGGGAATCAAACCTGCTCTGCAGAGACTGTGAGCAGCTTCACAGCACTGTGCTCAAATGCCTGTACCAGCAGGGAGACCCCTTTGCTAGTATTTAAAGTAGAAATTTTGCATCCTCGAACACAAGAGGGCTTTATTAACTCATTAATTGGGAAAGGGCCTGTTTACTCTTCTAGGAAAAAGGCATTGAAGTGATGTTCTCTCCCCACCCTTGCCCTGCTTGGACCCTCGATTGGAACAAACTTCCTGCAGCAGTGAGCCCAAAAGAAGGTGAGTTTTTGCTCCCTTTTAAGTTCACTCATAATCTGGGTATCCTCTTCAGATCCATCTTTGGCTCTATCTAATATATTTAATGTCCATCGATTTCTTATTATAAAAATTTTATCTGTATGTCACTCAGGTTTAATATTGCCTACATTTTTCTACATTTGCTTCATCTGTCCTTTTTTTTCTTTGCTGAAATATTTTGAAATGAATCCCAGAATACATGTCCTACTGTAGCACACAGATATTAAAAACATTGACTTCTTAAATACTCACCATGCCATTATCACAACTAATAAAAATTTAACAAAACATTCTTGGTCATCTAATAACCAGTTCATAGTCATTTCTCCAAAACTATTTGAAAAAAATTAGCTTTACTTGGTTTTTATACGGTATCTTTCATTACCAGATATTATATGTGGTTGACTTGTTTTTGATAATAAACTTTTCCTTGCTCATGATTGAGTTTCCCCTTTTTATAATTTTAGAGCATATTTATTACATATTCTATAGTTATTTCTAATAGCTGATGTCCATAGAAGTCTACTTCTGTTTGTTATTTCTGTTGACTTGGCTCCTGGTGTCCTAATGCTCTGTTGGTTTTGTAATTTTAGATTTGTATTCATTTTTGAGTTACCTAAATGTGTGGGAATCTTCTGAGACCAGGATTAACCATAAATTCCTGCAGAAAGAATGTGTATTTGCTTTTACCAGGCATCTTGAAGTATTAGAACTTAACACTACTTATCATTAGTTTTCAGCTTGAGATTCCTTTAGACTTTTCTATGAGGATCTGAGGTTTAAACAGACAAATACCCATTATCATCTTCCTTTGCTGTTTGGTAGCACTTTTTATTTTTAAATATATCTTTTCATGGAGAATATGACTTTTCAAGGTTTCAACTTTCATGTAGTGGTAGTTATTCCAGCTCTTCAGAGTGCTAGCTGTCAAGGGCTATGCTGTCTTCTTTGTCCCACTGTTAAAACCTCAATCCCTATGTTAGCAAGTACCTTCCAGGCAGCTGTGGTGTCTATTCAAGATTAGTAAACCTTTCCCCAGTTTATTTCCCCTTTTTTTTAAATAAGTAACCATTTGAAATTTTTAAAATTTTATAAAAAGTAACATTATGCCATGATCTTTATTGGATAGAAAGACCATATAGGGAGGGAAAGAACTAGTAGAAAAGTGTCTTCATTTTTCAGTGTTACTTTCTTCATGTGAAATTTTAAAAGGTCTGTAGTTTCTTCATTTGAAATGGTAAGTCTAAATAAGAAAAAAGAAATCATGCAACACAAAACTTTATTGTAGTGGTTTAATTATACATTTATTTTTATTTAAGCCCCTTTTAAACCTTTTACAAATTTTAAAGCTTTTAAAATTTCATATGAAAGCACTTGAATAATCATATTATCCTCAAAATTATCGGTTTTATACAATTTTTAGCAAAATCCCTACAGGTAAAATTTAGATAAGGTTATTCTAAATTTTATATGAAAAAATAGTTTGAAAAAGAAGAGAGAGAATCACTCTACTCGAGGTCAAGACTTACTATAAAATTATTGGAGAGAGAAATATGTACATCAATAGATGTGAATAGAGAACCTACCCAAAGGTATAAGAGAAACTGTGGAGAAAGATGCTTGTTTTCAACCAATGCTGTTGGATCAGTTGGCCAGCCAGAGGCCAAAACAAAGGAATGTCTAAATTGCTTTAGCGGGGAGTCTTGGTAACAAGAGATCACAACTTTGGTTCTTTAAACCCACTAGTGTTGGCTTACTGGGGTTCCTATGGTTTTCTTCTTTTTCTGTTTTTACACCAGATTATCTTTTTAATAAAATACAACTTTTTTTTTTTTTTTTTTAAAGTATAATTTAACCGCCAGTTATTGTTAAAGAAGTTCACTTTTCTTCCCGGAGTTAGATTTGCTATATTCTTCCCAGTACTATCTAACAACACTTTGTTGTGTTCCCTCAGGCTAGGCTTCCAAAAACCTACTTACAGACCATGTTTTTTTTTGTTTGTTTGTTTTTGTTTTTAAGATTTATTTTTTTAATTATGCAAGCACTGGGTACAGTCAGAAGTGTGGGAGGGTGAGAGAATTCACCAGAGCCAGAGCAGGGAACAGAACAGGCAGACTGATGAAGAAATACACTGCTGAGGGGAGCAGTGGGCGCAACAGGAGAGGTCTGTGTTCCATGTGGGACCCTCGCCGGCGGCCGGGGATCAAAACAGCACTGCAGAGGCTGCGTGCAGCTTCGCAGCCCAGTGCCAACCACTGCGCCACCAGGGGAGGCCCACAGACCATGTTTTTAAGTACTTGGTGAGTAGAGCCCATGATGAATGATCACCATGAAAGATTTGAATGGCTAGTTCGCCTAGGGTAGTTTACATAGCATCTTCTAAGAGCAATGCCTTTTATTTTTTTGATTTTTATTTTTTAAAGATTTATTTATTTATACAAGCACTGGGTACAGTCAGTAGCACAGGAGGGTGAGAGAATTCACCATAGCCAGAGTGGGGAACAGAAAAGGCAGATTGATGAAATACACTGCTGAGGGGAGCAGTGGGCAGCAGGAGAGGTCTGTTGCGCCATGTGGGAACCTCGCTGGCGGCCAGGGATTGAACCGGTGCTGCAGAGGCTGCAGGCAGCCTCACAGCCCAGCGCTCAACCGCTGCGCCACGAGGGGAGGCCCAGCATTGCCTTTTAAAGCAAAAGTACTTGACATAGGAAGTCACTATGTGATTATATAAATTTATCTAAAGTCTTAATTCAAGTAGGTTATATGTAGAGTGTAAGGATTACTTGGATTTTTTTTTTCCTTTGGTCCATACACAAATGATCAAATTGAGAATTTATTGGGGAGTCAAGGAGATTGGTTCTGTTCTTCATGCCACTGAGTCATTTATTATTAATACTAAGGCAAGTTGGAAAGATTCATAGTGTTTTTGAACCATTTGTGAATTCATTGATACTTAAATGATCCATTCAAGAATGAATATTGTTAAGGATTAATGTATTTCAGAGACCAGTTGCTCCAAAAGTTGAGGTGGGATTTATGTGAGTAATGAAATACTGATGAATCCAATTAGTTCCAGACTAGGGTTCTGGTCTCCTCATTATTGTTGAAATGTAGTTGGAGTGGGACCATCTTATTCAGCCCTACCCTTCCTGAGAGCTGGTGGTCTAAAGCACTGTTGCAGACCTGCTGAGTCCCTGGCAGCACTGCTGCTCCTCAGGCCAGAGGCGGGTGCTCGCTTCCAGTGAAGACTTTTCCTAAGAGTTTTTCAGAGTTCTAGTCATTGCAGATAGTGGGTACCATAGCAACAGCCTTTAAGGTTTCAGAGTAAGGCTATCTTAGATGAAAATGTGCAGAAATTTTATAATACTAATGGGTGAATTTTCAATAAATACTCATATGGAACAAATCGTACTGTTGATGTTGTCTAGAAGCAGTGAAGAACAGGGAGGAACCTTGATCTGAAACAAAGATATCTGCAGTGAAGTGTTTAGTCCAGCCTTTGACATGTCCTCTGCTGAGGTCAGATGGAGAAACAACCCATCATTTTCAGAGTGGCATAGAAGCCATGAGTTAAGCTACTCTAAAAGATTTCTGTTCACCATTATTGCAAAGCCAACTCTGCATTAACTCCGCTGTGCATTGCAGAGAGATCCTCCAATGGTGTAAGCTACTGCATGGGCTTCCCAGACTACTTTTGACTATCTCACCTAAGTAACTTGTTTTTAAGCTTAAAATCTCTCTTCCTGCTGTTACACTTTAACATTTTTTTTTTTTAAAGTTTAAAAGTTTGTAATCACATACCGGAGACAGAGGGAAAATTAATGATGTGGATCCTTATTTTTTTGCAAATGGAAACTAATTAGTATTATTCATTTCATTTTAAATTGGCATTCGCTGTGCTGTTGCAGGCAGTTGTGATTAAAATCAACTCCACTACACAATGAAGTATTTTACCCTGTGCTTTGAACCGTCTGCACCCAATCCCATTCATTATTTTTATTTAATTAGGCCTAACTTACATTAGAGGTACCTGAAGCAAGGAAATTTCCCTAATAGTCACAGACTCTGCAGTTTTTCAAGATTGAATTATCAGAAGAATTTTGAAAAGTCTAACCATAGGACAAAAGTATATTCATAAATAGGAAATAGTCATTATTTAATTATGTAATTAGCAGTTTCAGCATAAAAACTAGTAGTTTCCCAGAAATAATTATATAAAGTCTATCTAGAAACATTATGCTATAAATTACTAATTACAGTAGAAAGTTGTCTGTGCAAATTTATATGCTTCCTTGAAAAAATGGCTGAGAATTTTGCAGATGATGGCACAGCAAATACTTTTTAAAACTTGGGCATACTCAATTCCCAAGATAACTATGTATTTTAAAAGCAGGTGATTTTATATGATGGTTTTAGTTGGACTTATAATGACAAAAAGACAGGTGTTTTGTGGCACATGCACATCTAACAAAGTAGACGTTAACCGTTATTTGTAGGCCTTTTTGGGGGGAGGGTTTGGATGGGGTCAAGGCCCCTTTCAACAACTTTATTGACTGTATAGTTCCAGGTCTTTGGGGACATAAATTTAATTCTTTTCGACAAAACAAAGAAAATCAGACTGCCAGAGGTAATAGTAAAGAAAATAACTTAGAAAATTGCTTTCCAGTCTTGCCCTCATCTGCTCTCATCTAACGTAGATGGTTCACTGTAAGTCAGGTCACTGTTGCATTAATCACACTGTGATCTAGCTAAAAAGATGTTTTTAAATACTTCTCCTTGTTTATAAAAACCCTTAATCACACTATTTACAAAGTTGTCATATGAGTCAGATTCCCAGGAGGCAAAGATGACATTCAAATTGGAATCATCAGAAGGAACTTGTTTATAGAGAGATAATGACAAAGTTGCTGGCAGGGTCTGTGGAATAGGAAGGGACAGGGCCTGAACTCAGGGATGGGGACCACAAGCTGTTTCCACATCTC